AGATGAAAAGTATGGCGTTTTAGTCAGATGAATATGGAGTTTGAACTCAGGCTTTGCTTTTTTGTGTGTGTGATCTTGGGCAAGTTCACCTAACATACCTGAGCTTCAATTTCAAGGAAAATAGAAACAATAATATCTTCCTCGGGACCATTGTGATTGAGTTATATTTCAGAAGGTGTAATCCAAATGGTGGCCATAGGAATTAAGCTCAGAGTCAGTACAGCAGCCACTTTTTCCTCTCTTGAGTTTGTATATTTTATTATAATAAAGTACAAGACCTATACCATAGAAATTTAGAAACAAAAAAAAAAAATTACATTCAGAGAATTCTCAATTTCTGAGTAAGGTGTTAAGAGACTTAGGTCCTCAGTTTACCTTTCTATGCTGTCTTTTGTTTACTCTTTCTCTAAGAATAAAGTAGGTAGATATGATTAGAGTTGATGGAGCCAGAAAAACACTTATTGTTTTCCCAGGCATCAAGTACAATAAACTTCATTCTATATTAATGTTAAAAAAATCATTTGCAATGCTATCAACAGGCAATAATAATAACTGGTTCATGCAGTCTAAAGAGTAAAGCATACTCTGGCCATGTGGCTCAGTTGGTTGGCCATTGTCTCGTACACCAAAAAGTTGCCAGTTCTACTCTTGGTTGTGGCACATGCCCATGTTGTGGGCTTGATCCCTGGCAAGGAGCATGCAGGAGGCAGCCAATCAATGTTTCCCTCACATCACATCGATGTTTCTCTCTCTCTCCTCCTTCTCCCTTTCTCTCTTTCTAAAAATCAATACAATTGTTTGTTTGTTTTTAAAGAGTAAAGCAAGTACTATTGTGTACAAAGGATTTCCTAAGAATTATATAACTTTTTAATTGGAAAAGAAGTTAATGTGCAACCATTTACTATGATAAAAAATCTTTATTTTTGCCTTCATGAACAAATATCCCAACATATTGTAGAAACAAAACTGGTTTCATAGGCATGTGACTTGCACTTAGAAGAGCCCTATGCTTCGTGAATGCTCTGCTGTCAATCTTGAAATTTTTAATAATTTTTGAACAAGGACCCCATATTTTCATTTTGCATGGGCATTACAAATTATATAACCAATCCTTGTGTAGAACAATTTTAAATATTAAGGTGTTTTTAATAATGGGCTTTTATTATACTTAAAACCTAGCTTAATCCAATGACTTTTTGTCTGAGCTATTAATCAAAACTAATTTCTTTTTTTTATATAAATATATTTTGTTGTTTTTGTACAGAGAGGAAGGCAGCGAGATAGAGAGCTAGAAACATCAACGAGAGAGTGTCATCGATCAGCTGCCTCTTGCACACCCCCCACTGGGGATATGCCCGCAACCAAGGTACATGCCCTTGACCGGAATCGAACCCGAGTCCCTTCAGTCCCCAAGCCGACGCTCTATCCATTGAGCCAAACTGGTTTTGGCCCAAACTAATTTCTTTATAAAAAGTAAGTGAACTAAGTATATCTATTCACAAGCATAGTAAATAGACAATATGCAAATATCCAGGTATATGGATGTACTTTGAGATCTAAATATCCATCAAAACAGTATTGGTTAGCCTGGCCAGTATGGCTCAATGGTTGATCAATGTTTCCTTCTAGCTCTCTCTCTCCATCTCCCTTCCTCCTCTGAAATCAGTACTGGTTCAATATATTATGGTTTATACAATATAGAATACTATTTAGACATATGGGTCTTAATCCTATTTGAACATTAGAATTACCTCAGAAGATACTAAAAAAAATGGTTTAGGGCCCCTCTTTTTGAGATGCTGATCAATTGTTCTAGGTGTGTTTCGAGCATTGGTGTTTTATTGTTTTGTTATTAATTTCCCCAAGTAACTCTAATATGCAGACAGACTTTAGAAGTACTGATGTCAGCCTTAAAAAGAACCATGTGGATACAAGTCTATTAGCGTGGAAAATGGTCCACGATACCTAAGTTTTTAATGTTAAAATGCATTTATGGATCAAATGCTTCCATTTGTATAAAATATTTTAAATATACAGTACAGGTTCTGGATGGATAAAGAGCAAACTAAGAGGGAGTGGCTATGGCGGGGGGTGAGACTCCTGAATACTTAGCTTTCCACACGTTTGTACTTTAATTTTTATACAAGAATGGAGATTTTTAAATAAAAGAATACAGTATTACTTATTTATTTTTATTTTTATTTTTTCAGGCAGAACCAATCTATTTTATTGAGGACCTTCAGGAGAGGGTTAATGTACTGGGAGGACGATGAGATCCGATGTCTTGGCCCAGCCAGATCTCCCAAGTTTCACAGACACACACACACACACACACACACACACACACACACACACATACACACACAGCTCTATTTTTTTTAAGTCAGCAAAATCTTCACATTTTTATTTTAATTTAAAAAAATATGTTGAATCTTTTATTTATATCACCCAGCTGACTGTAACATGAAGACTTACAACTAGTCCTAGACTTCAAAATCTTGGTAAGCTTATACTTTAGTATAGAGAATGTCACAAGCATTGTCTTCTTTGAATTAGTTAAAGTAATTCCCATTTTACAGGGAAAAAACTCAAAGAGTTAAGCGGATAGACTTTGCTCTTGAGAGAACTGAGACTCAAACCCACATCTAAGTCCGAGTTGAATACTCTTTTTCCTATGCTACACCAATGTCTTGATAGCTTATTCTACACAACATCGCTGCAGACAGGGGTCACTATATACCAAGGTAAGATTAACTGGGTATTATACCTTCTAGGAACAAAGTAGGAAGAATTGTTTAACAGCTTCAAGAGATGTCTCCTCTTACTAAAGGCAGAGAGGGCTTACATGCCTTTCTTGATCTTTTGGTTTCCTGGAATGAAGAAACATGAAAGGCAAATATAGTTTCACCTTTGCATATATTCATAATATTTAAGACGTTTGGAAATACAACATTCTAACTGTGATATATTTCATACTCCCCATCCAATCATCAGCTGTTTGTTTTTAACCTTCAACTAATTCTAAATCTGACCTCTTCATTCCTCCTCCTCTATCACTTCGCTCCAGGCCACCCTTTTCTCTATCGACTAGTTTCCTTTCATAGCTTCTTACCTGTCCTTCTGGTAGCTGCTTTCACTCTTTCTTCTCTACATTCTAGTAGTCTCCATCCAGCAATTAAGTGAGGCATTTAAAGGGTCAGAGCAAGGCATTTGTTTCCCCATATCACTCAGAATAAAATCCAGTCTTACCAGTCTGATCTGCTTGATGTGTTTGCTGGCTACCTCCCCGACCTCATCTCCTATTACTCTTCCCGTGGCTCACTCTGCTCATCCGCACCAGCCTCCTCTGCTATGCCTCAAATATATCAAATACACGCCCTTTTCAGGCCTTTTGCAGTTCCCTGTGCCTACAACACTTTTCTAGATACTTGCACTGATGCGCTCCCTCTTAATCCAGATTTCTACTTGGCCCTTTTCATTGAGGCTTAACTACATCATATAAAATAGCACCTCCTTCACTCTCTCCTCTTACCTGTGCTTTCTCTTTACAGCACCATTTATATTTATTAAATATACATTTTAAACATATGTGTGTATTTTTATTTTCTGTCTTTCACCGTTAAGAGGGAAACTACCCCAACTAGGATATGGTTCTTTTTACTGCTGATTGTCAGGTCAGAGAACATGGTCTAACATAGGCATTTAGCAATCAAGTGTGAATGAATCTATCTTCCATTTACACTTCTAAGCACTCTTTGCTTCTACCATCTAGAGGAGTAGGGGAAAACTATTTTTCCTCCCACCCAGGATTTGAAGCAAAGATGGTTTTTATATGTGTCTATATTATCCTTACTGCAAAGGCTAAGTAAATGTTTAGCATTAGTACAAGTGATTGTTATATGAATTAATCCCAAAGTGAATCCCACGGGGGGGGGGGGGGGGTCAGATTCCAGAGCCAGCAACGCCTCCCTGGACATCCCCACACATTGCTCTGCAGGGAGGACATCAGCACCCTCAGGCCAGAGACTACACCTAGGAACTTAGCAGTTTTGGCACAGCAGCCATGGCTGTTTGTGGCTTCATTGGAGTAGTGGCCCTCATCCAAGGCCCTGAAGAAATGGAGGCGCGATTTTTTAAGAAACAACTGAGGCACCAGACCAACTTTCTCCACAAATCTTTGGCGCTTTCCTGCCATGCGGATGCCATATATTCCAATACGATCAACCTGGCTCTCTGGAAAGAGGATGACTTTGCTGTCTATGCCAACATGTCCCCTTTTTGATCGCCCTAGGAGGACATTGCCAGAGCACGTGGAATACACCTCCACTGTATTCCCCTGATGGGAAGCCGATGTGATACTCCAAGGTAGACCTACACCCTAGCTGAATCCGGATGCAGCTTTTGCTTTAGATGTGTGTGTGTGTGTGTGTGTGTGTGTGTGTTAGAAAATGCATAAAACATATTCTGATGAAAAAAAAAAAAAACTACACAGAAGAAGCAGTTTGAAGTGACATGGGAGTAAGGGCAGGGGTTAGAGGAAGAAAGCAGTTTGAGATTTCACTTAGTAGTCCTGAATTGAGACGGGTGCTGTAAATGTCATTAAACCTGTTCTATAGTCCTATGCACCACCTCACCCTACCCATCTCTCACCCACAGCAGTAAAGTCACTTTTACACTTTCAAGAGCTAGACTTGTAATATCAAACAAAGACTTTTTTGCAAATCAAACGTTAAAGGTGACTTTATTGTTCTCTCCTCCCATTTTTATTATTGAATAAATAAATGAAAGAGTAATCTTAATTGTCAGTTTTCCCGACAACATGGAAATCTCCATCCATAATCATGACACTAATATGTTTTGTCCAGGTGATCATTTCATTCAGTGTGGGAGAGGGAGGGGGAATTCCATGCTGGGATGAGGCAAGTGGAAGAGCTTGCTTACTAGGAGAAAATATCTTTTTCTTTTCATCTCACAGGCCAGTCTCATCACACAAACCCAGTTCAGAGGACACTAATGTACGCCTTGCCCACCTCTCGCAGCCCATCTTTCTTACTCAGATAGTTTCCAAGCAGCTCTCTAACGGAGACACAGTCTTTCGTTTGCAGGACAAATTGTGCCACAGCCTTCCCTCCTGGCAGACGGCCCCTGGCCATCTCCCTTTTGACGCTGTCCAGGACAACCCCCCTGATGTCTTTAGGCTTTCCTGGCACCCCAAAGATGAGAAACAGGCCCAGACAATCCTCTCCTATCAAGCTACAGAATTCGTCCAGCTTTTCAAATCTGCTCTTCCGGAGAGACTCTGCCCTGGATTCTGGATTGGAGGACTCACAAGGCTTAGACGTGACAGGAGGAAGAGAAGACATAGGCAGAGTCTGTACCGCCAGCTGGAGCCTTATCTGCTTATCAGATCCCCAAAAGGTCCAAATCCAGTCGGCCCCAAACAGGAAGGCTTGGTGCTTGGTCATCTTGGTGGTGGTGAGCCACTCATCCACGCCCTTTTCTTGGCAGAAAGTGACAAAGTGGATTAAGAAGATCTCATTCAGAGTGTCTGGAGCTGGGCTCAGATTGCTCAGAGGGTCTTCAAATCCAAGGAACTCCTCCAATTTCTGAGCGGCATGCGCGATAGCTCCACTGAACACCTCACAGACGCTGAGAACCTCTTGGCTGTCCTTGGGAGACGGCTGTTGGGACTGTTTCTGCCCCATTTCCTCTGCACCCAATCAATACCGCTTCCAGATACCAAACATGTGGCCTTTGTTCAGAATGACTTCTTTCTCGGAGTGAACGTCTTGCAGTGAAGTCGTATCTGTGAATGTGGTCTCAGTTTTCTAACTCTGCAGCTTACTTGGTGTAGCTAAGCATATATGCATACAACTAAACAAATAGCTCTCCCTGTTTGCCAACTGGGTGTGTTTTATTCATGCAGATTCCTGCCGGATTACTAAGTGAGAGATACTAACTTTCACAAAAAGCATCTCTTCTTCTCTGGTTATAGTCATCCTACTTTTCCTATTTGGTCATTTTTTCCAAGATCTTTCCAAATTTCAGTTCAATTAAAAATATTTAATTCCTTAAAGAACTATATACTTTCTACAACTAACTTCATTTTAAATGCTCATTAAAATTTTTTTAAATAGGTTTCAGAGAGGAAAGAAGAGGGAGAGAAACATCAATGACGAGAGAGAATCATTGATCTGCTGCCTCCTGCACGCCACCCACTGGGGATTGAGCCTGCAACCCAGGCAAGTACCATGACTGGGAATCTAACCATTACTATTTGGTTCATAGGTTGAAGCTCAACCACTGAGCCATGCCAGCTGGGTTCTCCAACTAACTTTTTCAAATCTGAAGGTGAGCCATTTCCTTTTGCTTTTCCAGGATCCTCTCTGCCATGACTCCTCACCTCCTAGCTCAATGGCTTGTGCTTCCTTCCACACAAGCCTTTCTCAAACAAATGTCTCATATTTCTACCTTTTGGCACATGCTATGAATCCCACACAAAATATTTTGTGGGAGTTTGTGAACTGTCAGGAGTTTGTTATTGTTATTTATATCAGAAATAAAGCTTACTGGATATACTGAACAAAGGGAAATAAATTAACAGACACTAAAAATATGAGGCAATTATCAGCTGACTTTATTTCTTTTCTTATGGTGATATCAGCAGTGTATAATACTTTGTAAATAAAATATATGTCATCAGTTATGCTACAATGTCCTGAATAAAGAATATTTGGCCTCTGTAACAGTCTCCTGGTATTTTAACCAGGTTGGAATATCCAATTTGTTTTTCAAATGGTGACATATATCCACATTAAAATAAAACACAAGTACATTAAGAGTCCAATACAGTTACCAAATAATGAATGGTAGGGAGCAAAAGATTATTGTTAACATCAAATTATTTTAGTCATGAATAAATAGTAGTGTAGTATTATAGGCTCCTTGACGAAAAGCTTGGTAACTTGCTGATAACTTGAAAGATCGTATCATGACATTCAAATATAGTTTGTAAGTAAGCCCACTGGTACTGAACTGAACTGCTCACCCCTACGCCAATCTGTGAAAACCAGTCTACCACAGTTGGCTAACATGGTAATGATGTAGTACTGAATAAAAAAATAGAACATTATTTCTGATACCCCTAAAAAGAATAATAAACAGTGACAGTTTGTGCTGCAGCTTTGTATATTCTTTATAAAGAATATTTGGGCCCTGTGCTATGAAAAAACATGAACTACATTTTATTATCACAAGATAGGCATTCTTTTCCAGCCTCAGAGTTATTAAACTCTGATTGAGACAAAATGTTCAGACAGATATTCAGCTTTTTTTTTTTTTTTTTAAAGGATTTCTTCCATTCATGGGTAGTCTCAGCAATGTACATTAGTCAGGCTGCTGGTATTTTGAGACAATGGTCTAATCTAGCAAAGAGGAAAATAAGAAGCTTAATACTGTAAAGGTTTTTGTTTTGGTTTCTTAGAAATCATTTCTACAAATTTTGGGGCAGCTTCTGAATGCGTTCAGGTTAACAGATGTAAACGTTCCTCAAGTTCTTCCTTATGAGTTTAAAAGAATCCAAGATTAAGGATGAAATTCTTAAAAACAAAAACAAAAAACCAACAATGAGAATGTGATGGGTTATCGATGAAGAGTTGTTTCATATACACTAATTTAGTCCGAGTGATCAACATCATTAAAATTCGGTGGTGGAGAAAGAAAGAGTATCCTGACCTGGCCAAGAACCAGCTGGCATGTGAAAAATTGGATCACTGTTTTTTTTTCAATGTGATTTTTTTTTTTTTTTTTTTTTTTTACCATCTTCCTTAGGTGTGTCACAAAATAAAAGTTCTATGTTCTGTGTACTAAATATATACATATATTTAGAAAAATATATAAAAACAGGACACAAGGAGGCAAGTGGAGGCGTGGCTGGCTGGCATTTAGTGGGCACGCTGGATCTTAAAGAGATCCCACATACCGATTTTCAAAGCATGTGCTCGGCTACAGTGGCTACACAGACGTGACAGAATCAGCCACCAGAGAGTTCCCTCTTTCCCAAGCCCTCCATACTGTGAACATGACCGGAAACACTACAATAAAGTCCTCTCACGGTAGATGCAACATTTTAAATAGAATATATCACAGATTTTTACATTAAATAGAGGAGAAACAATTATACTCTCATTCACCAGTGTCTCACTTTCTGTGGCAGCTTTAAAATAGGCACAGATGCCCTGCTTTCCAGTTCCACTTCTAAATGAGCAGACGCGGATTGATAAACCATACACCACCCGCTACTTGCTGGATGTACTGTGAGTGTAGAAACAAAGTGGAAAGAGACCAAGGGCTCCTCATGCTCGTCTAGGTGCTGCGGTCAAACATTCGAGTCTTCGTCAGTAATGCTGGTGCTGGGGGACCGGGCAGCGAAATCTTTAAACATGTCATCTTCCTTTAACATGTGCTGGGAAACAAGGAGATGGGAGTCACACACACTGCGTTCCACGTGCAGGCCCTTGGGGTGATTTGCAAACGTATTTTTAGAATGAGATTCGAAACTCATTTTGCCAACTTACCGTGAGGTTGTTGATGCCTTCCGAGAACGCACCTATCTGCCTCACTGTCCCTTCAGAATCTTCCATCTGCAAAGAGCACACCACAAGGTGACAATTTCAAGAAAAGTGTGACAAAGTGAACAAACATCAGAGAAGGAATAACGCGAGTTGTGCTGAACGGGATAGGAGCAATGGGATACGTCTGATGGTAATCTCCTTGTGCTGCTGTGAGTAGATGTGGGAATTCAGAAGAAACACTTTAATGGCACTTCCCAGACTGAATGCTCTGATGCTCACAATGGCACCAAGGGATTACAGATTAAAGGGCAATTTTCGGTCCCATGACTTCGTACTGAAAAGGCTAAGTAGTATGAGCTGGCCATTCTTGACTCGTTTTCATACTCAGATTTCCTTAAAACTGCCAGGGTAACATAGGTAAGGCGCAGGGTTGGAAGCCAGCCTGACAAGTTGGAATCTCAGTTCTTCTATCTGAGGTAAGTTACTTAATTTCTCTGTGCCCGTGTCCTTCTCTCTAAAATTAAGATGAGAATACTCCCCATGTTTTAGGGTTACTGTGAACATTAATATATGTTAAGTGCATAGGAAAGTGCCTGGGATATAGTAAGCAGTCTGCAAGCGTTCACCGTCATTTTATTATTATCTTTATTCTTAAGCATTAGAAGAAAACTTCCTTGCTTCACACACACAATACAAGAAGATTCCATTGAGTGTTTCAATGCAGGGAGAACTTGAAAATAGGTAGGTGATGTTGCACTTACCTGCTCTAACCGGTCCAAGTCATCTTCGTCATACAGGCGCATGTCCAGGCCAGCTTTGGGTCCTTTCTTAGATACACTTCCTGATGCCTGTCCCAACTCCATTGGACAAACATATTCTTCCCCATCTTCCTGTTTCTTCTTTCTCAGATTCCCAAAATTGCTGAAGGTGAGTTTCCTTGGCTTTAAAAGAAAGAAAACGATAGCATCCAGAAATTAGATAAAATTCATATAAAAAAGGACTAATAACATGTATATTAATAATTTCACACAGAGAAAAGCAACTGAATGATTTGTATAACAAACGAAGGCATCATAGGCCTGTGACTGATGCATCCAAATCTGATCAATGATCCCTGTTAATTATCTCGGAGGATTACATTTGTTCTCCTTATTCACTCTAACTAGCTGGGTAGTCACAGCAATAAAAGCAAAATATGCAAAGAGCCTTATTTTTGCTTAAACGGTACTTAATGCAAACGAGATTCCTCAGGGCTAAGTACAATTTTACAAGGTTTTCCAGGCTAAGATCAGCAAAAGAAAATGGCCCTTATTGTATTTTCTTTTTGGGTGGGGCTGTGATTATCTTATATGCTTGTTAAGCTTCTATAACAGGGTGGTGACTGCTAAAATAATTCTTGCTCTTTGGGAGAAAAAACTTCCATGATATTTAGAAGAGAAACTACATCTTCATCACTGGTTAATTACGGAAACTGTTAGGTAGACGGTGATTGGCTGATACAGAGAATTTATATAGAACAGAATCTCTCAGAGGTTTCAAATCTGGCACATCTTCTAAAGGAGGAAGGGAGTTGAAGAGAGAATGTCAAGCAAGTAGAAGGGGTTAAAAAAAAAAAAGAACTTGAGCTCTAGCTGGTTTGCCTTAGTGGACAGAACACTGCGGACTGAAGGGTTCCTAGTTCGATTCCTGTCAAGGACACATGCCCTAGTTGCTGCTTGATCCCCAGTAAGGGGCATGCAGGAGGTAGCCAATCAATAATTCTCTCTCATCATTGATGTTTTTTTCTATCTCTCCCTCTTCTTTTCTCTCTGAAATCAATAAAAATACATTTTTTTAAAAAAGAACTTGAACCATATTTGTGAAAGAGTCTAATTCCCTATATCTACATTAAGCTGGTTGAGATAACATGCAGAAGAGTTAGCACAAGAGTCATTTAAAAGAAGAAAAAGGAGTCTGAAATTCGTATGATCTATAAATCTAGGCAAACTAGGAATATCCATTCTCTGCTGCTGTGCCTTTGTCTAACTTGCAAGTTTGGTCAATTATAGGCCAGACAAGCAGAATCTGTATGTGGAGAAAGGCAACTCGTATACATGATTTATCTACAGCAAAAATAGGACTAGTGCAATCAATATTTGGGCCCAAGTTATGGGCTCTCTGCCTTGGCAATGTATCCATTATAGAAACCAACATCATGTTCTTTATTACTGTTAACCCTAATAAAATAAATGATTTTTAGCAAAAATTCTCCCAGAAGAAAACCTTCAGAATTGTATTTTATTGATTACTGTTAAAGATACATATACCTTCAACCCATCCACAAATCCCAGAAAATGGGATAGCCGGATAACAGAATTGAACCTATGCTCTCATTTTCGGTATAGTCAATTATTACTTGATGCGAGCTTGAACCAACCTTCACTTTGGCAGTGGCTGTTAAAAGTACATAATCTGGTAACTCCATGGCATCACGTTTCTGGTGTTGGGCCTCAGCACCAATCAGGAGGTTGAAATGAGTGGCCAAATGTCTTCTCAAGAGGGTCTTACTGGGCGGGATGTTCAACAGCTGAGCCATTGTTTCCACATTAAAACGGGGTTCTAGAACCTGTAAGAAAATAAAGATTGTGTAAGACCCGGCATATCACACATGTCTGCACTGTGCTTTATAATTTGCAAAGCTCTTTCATTTAGTTTTCTCCAATGACCTACTCAGTGAGATTCACGGAGTATGGACTTACATCTTTAACTGACATTTCTTTTCTTTATTCTGCCCAAGCTAGTGAGAGGAGAGCTGGTCCTGACATCCAGGCATGACTGAGTCAAGGCTTCTACCTCTCTGAGGTGTTGCATTTGGAATGTCATTGAAAACAGGTGTTGTTTTTTGTTTGTTTGTTTGTTTGTTTGTTTTAATTGATTTGAGAGAGAGATGGAGAAATATTGATTTGTTGTTCCACTTATTTATGCATTCATTGGTTGATTCTTAAATGTGCCTGGCCAGGAATCAAACCCGCAACCTTGGCGTATTGGGACGATGCTCTAACCAACTGAACCTTCCAACCAGAGCAACATTTGGGATGCTTTTGGCAGCCAACTTCTTTGCAACATCTGTGGGCAGAAATACAATCTGTATCTTTGCAGAGGTTTTAAAACATGATATGAGAGCCAGCAGCCAGATGTTATCTAGCAGAAAAGAGGACAATGGAAGAGATGGGTTTAAATCTGACCTAGAGTTATGTAATAGTAAAAAATAAGGGAAAAAAACATGTTGAAAGTACAAATTCACTAGGAATAGTGCAGTAGGGTTGGGTTAGACATCTTTAGGGTTATAATAAGTAAACTGATACATTTCTACTCATTAGATTAAAGGAGACAAAATGATAAGAAATCAATTTCAAATTAAATCAGGTTTTTACCATGAGCCCACCGTGGACACCACTGCCTCTGAGATTGGGGGCATACTCTGCCAAGTCCACGGAACGCAGCCACTCCATCACCCGGTGGTTGGTCCACTGCTGCACCTCTGAGGGGGTGATGCTATTCTATGGGGACAGAGGACACCAAGAGCTTCAATCACTGACTATGCGATTCCTCATATTCCACCTGCACGTTCCATCCAAAAGTCTGCCTCACAGAACAATGTTTCTTGTCCTCCCACTAAATGTTTACGGAGAGGATAAAAAAGTGGTTGCTAATTTGAGTTCTTTTTGAAAGAAGATGGTCACAAAGTTTCAAGCTTTTTAAAAAAAATTTAATATATTTTATTGATTTTTTTACAGAGAGGAAGAGAGAAGGATAGAGTTATAGAGAGTTAGAAACATCGATGAGAGAGAAACATTGACTAGCCGCCTCCTGCATACCCCCTACTGGGGTTGTGCCTGCAACTAACATACATGCCCTTGACCGGAATAGAACCTGGGACCCTTGAGTCCCTAAGCTGATGCTCTATCCACTGAGCCAAACTGGTTTCGGCTCAACCTTTTTTTTTTTTTTTTTACACACCATTAGAGCAGTGCTTTAGAAAAGGAAGTCTTTATAGTGATATTTAAGCCTCTGGTTTAAGAAGGGAGGAAAATGAAATACACACAAGAAAAGGAGGAAGGGAAACTAAAACACAGCCCTTGGCTTCCATGACCCAGGTAGAACCACCCTGGGAGGAAGGGAAGGAATACAGGAAAACAAAGCCTGAGACATAAATGAGGCTGGATGTGAGGCTCTGAGGAACCCAGCAGCCCTCCCGCCGTTTCCAAGAAGAAAAAGGTTTCAGTACTGCACACAGGACAGTCATATGCGTGGAAGGAGCGTGCTGAGTAACCCTCAACGCAAACACTACCTCATCAGACGGCCGCCTCCGTAGACAGTTGGGTTCAAAGTTGTTGATCCTCAGGACCTGGATGGCCCTTTTGATGCTGAGATGATGCAGCACACTCACGACCTTCAAAGACAGCAAGTCATCCTGCAGGAAAGAGCAGAGCGCGGGGCTCATTGAGCAGGAAGACCTCCTCACGAGAGTCTCAAAAATGCACAGAGAAGTGGATGAGCCCCTCTTCTAATAAACACCGAGGGCTTGTCGTTGTGTTCCAAGCTTTTATTTAATAGCTTTTTCTTGTTCGAATCAATATCTTCTTAGGACCCCAATATATCAGAAAACCAAAATTAATGTTGTTCCAACTGACACTGACTTCCATCTATTTCTATCCCAAACATTCTGGGACAGGCTTGTGGGACCCCTTCGCTCTGAAACACACAGTTTGAAAACACTTGCTGGGTCATGACAAACGGTGACCTGCTTTGATAAAGCAGATAGCTAAGAGGAAGTGATGTTCATTGACTGTCGAGTTTTGCTTTTCTGAGCTCAGACACATCCGTTTTGGGGAAAAACCAGCAGAGTGGTCACACACTCTTCCCCCAGCCTCAAGAAATCTCTGGCTCTAGATTTGTTCGTGTTGTCCAACAGACACTATAGACATTTTTAGAACATCTATGTCAACCAAAGCAAAGGTCTTGTTCAGAGTTGAGTGTAAAGAAATTAAGAAGCTATAAGTATCCACATATATCACCATTCATTTCCTTTAAGGAATACCTTTGGCCAGTCTGTGGTTACTGGGCACATTTCAAACATACCAAACACACCAAAACAAATGATTGTAGAAGAAGGTGATTTGAGTGGCAGTGTCAACATAAGCACAGGTCTACATCCAAATACACCCAGAAAGTAAACAAGGAAAACAACCATGTTAGACACATCTTATTGATAACATTGCTTATCAGGAAAAAATATTAATCTATTATAAAAATAGTTTTTAAATGCTAGGCAATCAGTTTAAATCCTTAAAGGCTACTAAGTGAACAAAAATTCTTTCCAAAGTTTTTCTGGATTAATTTCTTAAAGGTAGTATCTTATAAATTAGAAAAGACAATTGACAATCTTAAGATTGAGGCACCCATTTAAAACATTTGCTTGTGTGCTATTTTCAACTTAAAATCTATCAGATTAAAAAAAAACCATAAATGCATAATGTTCATAATGTCAATAAAATGCTAATAGCTTAAGGGATTTCAAAAGTAGGGACCATTCCTTTTTTAATCAAAAAATTTAAAAATCTTTTAAAAAATATTTTTAAGTACTTTTAGATTTTTGGAAGAGTTGCCAAAAATAGTACAGAGAGTTCCATCTACCCTTCATGCAGCTTCCCTTAGTGTTAACATATAACTATAGCATATTAATTAAAACTAAGAAATTAACATAGACAATAATAAAATTAACCAAACTACAGACTTCATTCATATTTCAACCATTTTTTTTTTTGTTTTTTTTTTTTTCATGAAGGTCCTTTTTCTGTCCCAGGATCCAATCCAGGATACCATATTAAAAACAGATGTTTTATGATTTAGAACTTCCAGGATCCAATTTTATAAGGTAATTGATTTATTTAGTAGAGGCCCGGTGCATGAAATTCGTGCAAGAGTAGGCTTTCCTTCCCCCGGTACTCATGCTTCCTTCCAGTCCGCTGGCACCTGGGACCTGGGCTTCCCTCACTGAGGGAGGTCCCACCCACCTGCCACAGACCTGGGCCTTCCTCTTTGGGGTGATTGGGTGAAGCCCTCCTGATTGACTGCCCTGCTGGCCAGTGGCCCGGGCCTCCCTCTGCAGGGTGATCCTGGGGCAATGGTCAGACCCTGACCAATCGCTTCACACCCGCCTTGGCTGGCCTGGTGCCAGAGGGTGCTATAGTGTGGTCCTGGATGGTCGTCGGGTGGTTGTTTTACTGTTTGGCCGTTCGGTCAATATCCTTTTAGTATATATAACTATGAGAGTTATAGATATGCTTTTTATAAAGATTTTTAAGCCTAAATTTGCTCACATTCCCAGGGGAGCATACTTAGACCTAGTTAGGCAAGCCAATATTTTCTGTGTTTGCTCCAGGTGGAGCTGTGAAATATCAAGAGCAGGGGTCTGGAAACTGTGTAGGTTCAAATGACGTATGATATTTTTCCTACTATGTAACTGTGGAAGTTTGGTCAAGTTACCTGATTTCTGGGTACCTTCGCTTCTTCATATAATAACTGAGGATAATAAGAATGCTAACTCAAGGACTGCTGAGACTTCAGTATTGATCCCAGTAAAGTGGCTGGCACACAGCAAATGTGCAACATACCAGCTGTTAATGTTACATGATGTATGCACCAAGATATGGACTTGGTTCAATGATAGAGAATAAAGCAAATCCCATGAGCTGATCTCCAAGTTTCTTAATATTGAAAAATTCCCATTTAAATTAGCTGTTTGAAACTTTCAGTTTTTTTAAAGGAGATACTTACAGTGATTGAATCCCTAGCCCAGCTCACACACACACACAAAAAACATTCCAGTAAAAGTATGTCAGGTAGAACCCTGGTAGTACTGTGGCATCTAGAACATGTTCTCCTGGAATCCATCTCTCCCCACTGTTGTGAAGCAGGAAAAAGTCCTTCTACCCCTGGGGCAAAGGCCAGACATATGAAACCATAATGAAGGAATCAGAGTGAAAGTTGACCTTTCCCCTACTTCTTTACTAGGGAGGTAAAGGGGAAGGGGGGGGCGACTCCGCCCTAACAAAACTGGGCAGAAGAAAGAAGATTCCAGGTAACAGTTCTCAAATGTGGGAGGGAAGAGATTAGACAAGTCCCTGAGGATTTCAAGCCAGAAGCGTAGCCTTTCCTGAGTGGTCACTGAACATCTTATCTAATGAAAGAGTAATATGCAAATTGACCATCACTACAACACACAAGATGTCTGCCCCCATGTGGTCAAAAATGGCTACCCCATGTGGACACAAGATGGCCACCACAAAATGGCTGGCAGGGGAGGGTAGTTAAGGGGAGACAAGGCCTGCAGGGGAGGGCTATTGAGGGGGGACCAGGCCTGCAGGAGAGGGCAGTTGAGGGGGACCAGGCCTATAGGGGAAGGCAGTTAGGGGTGACCAGGCTGGCAGGGGAGGGCAATTAGGGGTGACCAGGTCGGCAGGGGAGGGCAGTTAAGGGCAATTGGGCTGGCAGGGAGGAGTTAGGTGTTGATCAGGCTGGTAGGAGAGTGGTTAGGAGGTGATTAGGCTGACAGGCAGAAACGGTTAGGGGCAATCAGGCAGGCAGACAGGTGAGCAGTTGGATTGTAAGGGGTCCCAGATTGGAGAGGGTGCAGGCTTGGCTGAGGGACACCCCCCATGCACGAATTTTGTGCACTGGGCCTCTAGTAGGAATATAAAATTTAGAAACTGCCAAGGATTAAAATCGCTACACTCTATTTAAAAAACAAACAAACACATAAAATATAATTCATTCACCATACAATTCACTCATTCAAAGGGTGCATTTCAATGTCTACAATATTGATTATACATGAAATCAATTTTCTGGAAAGTTTGACTTAAATTGGGTTTCAAATTCTCCAACTCTGTTGCAACCACCAAATCCTACAATTTAAACCTAATGGAAAATATTCCTGTCCCTATCTTCAAGTTAAAGCAACATATTCAAACTCAGGTGAATCCTTGTGAAAACCCCCACACCCCAGAAGGAAATCACTTACGATGGTCATGTAGTGGAGCATTCGACCATCTACCCGGCCTTCATCAAACTGGGTCTTGTACTGGGGGAGGCCAATATCATCCAACCATCCTAAAGGACAGAAATCTGTGTTGTTAACATGCCACAGAATGCCTGTCCTTGTGTTCAAAAAGGAAGAGCGGCATTATTTCTTTATTTGCTTGCTTCCTTATTTATGGGTTTAAGAATTTAAATCCTCTTACTAGTGACCCAGTTGAAATCCAGCTTTCCGTGATTGGTTTCCTCTTCAGATCCCAGAGCTTGCAATGCCAGCTGGAGTTTCTTTCGATGAAGTGAATGCTTGATTCCAAGTTCCTGAAATCATAAACAGAAACACTGGCTTTACAATCCTGTCAATACGGGCTGGGTGCCACTGGCAATGGATGCAAATTCCTCCGAAATGAAGCGAACATCCAAGAGCCAACAATGACATTAAATCAGAATGCTAACTCTGGCTAGTAAAAAGTTGCTGAATAAAAGGCCCCTAAAAGGCCAAGACCACTGGAGTTAGTTTAGTCGGGATGTGAGATATTCACGAGTAGGCTCCTTCCTGGGCAAAACTAGAACTGTAGGACGCAGAACAGGAATTCTACTCTTATTAAATAATTGGGAAATGTTAAATAATGGAACATAAAATGTAGGGCTCTTTCTTTGTTGTTGTTGCCTTTTGCAAAGAGAAGTTGAATTGCATATATTACATTGGGGAGACGGGTTAATAATGACAAAGCCACAGAATGATTTTGAGAAATATGAGCTTCAGGTTTATTATTATGGCCATCCAATTATTTTTCATTAAAATGCCCAGTGGCTTAAGTGTTCCATAAGGAATCATTACAACCAGATCCTTTGTTTTTAGTCCATGAAATAAAATAAGCATGAAGCAGGAAACCCAGATTTTTCCAAGAGCACTTACTGGCTCCCCCCATTCCCATTTAAGCGTAGAAAACAATCCTACATTCACATTCTCTACCTCTCTCTCAGAATTCATTTCGAAAACAAAACAAAGAAGCAGTCAGTCACCTTCTCCAGATCTTGTTGGGAAGCCTGCAAAAGGGTTTGGCCAGATGCAATCCAGTGCTTGCCAGAATTCAGGTAGGACCCCAAGCCCTGTTCCACAAGCCAATTGCAAACCTGCTCCTTGGTCCATTTGGCAAATGGCATATCCAAGTCACTATAGGAAAATGAACAATTGTATGAAAAACAACTCAAAGCCAATCCTATGGCTTATCATTAAAGTTGAACAACTATGTTCAACAGATATGGGTATTTCCTGGTGATACACAGTTGACTGTGCAAAGCTTAATATCAGTACACATTTGGAAGAGGAAGTGGCACTGGAGTTGAAAGTGACCTTGTGAGACCAATCTTCCTTTCAAATGAAACCACAAAAGATGCAATGTGGTTAGCAAAAACATGTTCTGTAGAAGACCGAGTTGAACCAAGTCAAGTCATTGTACCAATGTTGTTTGAAGACTGAATTCACAAACAAAATACACTAGGTCAGATGAAAAGAAACTCAAGTCAAACTTGAATTCATTTTAGCAGAATAATGGTTTCTTTCCAGGTGGTAATCAATGAGAAGAGGGCAATATGTCATCACTGATTATAAGAAAGTATAATCAAAGCAATTTTCTGTTTTTTTTTTTTTTTTTTTTTAGTTTGATACACAAAGAGTACTCCTGGTTTTTTTTGTGTTTTTTTTAAGTGGTGATAAGACTTTTTTTTTTTTTTTTTTTTTTTTTTTTATCAGCATAAGGAGGTCCTCTACTGTGTACAAAGAGAACATATGGCAAATGAGACTGCTCAGTATTTGAAGAAGGCTAAACAGAGTTAAAAGATTTAGTATCAATGATTGGTGCTATATGTTTGCCAGCCTCACCCTTTTTATGCTCGGGAGGTCAGTATAGTACAAGTAGTTCCAAACCAGCCCTGAACTATGGGAAAGGTGTAGGAAAAGTTCCTAGACTCATAATAACTAAAACATTACACAATCCTAATAATTTAAGATTTCTGATAGAATCTATATCTTTAGATGCTTTCACAAGTTCCATTGTTTATTAAACAGTGATCTGTCAGATACTTAGCACATATAAGTTAATTTAATCTTCAAAACCATTTTTCGGGTAAGGTACTAATACATACCACAAGAAACAGAGACACAAAGCATGAAAGTAGCTGTTCAACGTTATCCAGCTTATAGGAAGTGGTAAGACCAGAAATCAGACCCAAGCAACCTGCCTCTAGAACCTACTCATAAACACTATACTATCCTATCTTTGTAAGGCTATGCTTTAGAGTACTTGTAATTATTTTCTTTGAAAATTTAAGTCTGGTAGTCATTCTAATACAGATGTTGCAGGCACTTCAGGTGTGGCTCCTCACCTAGCTCAGATAGTCCACATCTGCTGCACAGTTGTTAACCAACCATTGCCAAATTACACTGCTCTAAAGATGGTGGACCCTTCCATTAGGCATGGCAGTAAGCAATGGATCTGACTGTGCAACCCAGGGACAATACTAGCATTGTTGGTGCTCATGAGAACCCCTGATACTTGGGAAGAGATGCAGAAGTCCATTAGTTTGGTGGTTCTTACCTATTAGATTGTCCCAAATCTCGAGACCAACCCAATCGGGGTCCAGCAGTTGCCCTCGTCCCTCCTCGTTTGAATTCAGTTTCAGACATGTCATCTGGGTTGAATGTAGTTGACTGACTTCTCCTAAGTCTGAAGAAAAGATACAATACACATTGCCTTGATTCGACCTGAGGAGGCCTTAGACTAATCAGAACATTTGTAATTGGTGTACACATTTGAGCTACTCCCTTTGTATGTCATTAGAATAGACATTTGGATTTAAAGTTTGAGACCCAATGAGTTAACGAATCCCATATCACAATCTTCCTTCCAGAAGAACACAGAAGCTTTACAATGTCATATCCATTTTCAGCCAATTGTCCATTTCTTCCTACATATGAACAACATAAAAGACAAAGTCCATTTCACTTGTTCACTCTGTTACTTACTTTCCAAAGAGTTTCATGATGCCTCGGGATTTCTTTTTGGAATCTGGAGATGATGGGGACATCTGGAAGGGGCTGCTCCCTTGTGAATCTTTTGGCCGAGAAGATACACCAGCCAGGTCTAGGTGCTCAGCTGTCTCCTTTTCTGTTTCGGCTAAGAAAACAAACTCAGTGAATTTTAATATATGAAATGAGCATGATTAGATATTAGGTGCTGGGCTTTAAAAACTGGTAAGAATTCTTCTGTTGGCCTATAAACCAAAAGACCCTGCCCTACTCTATATCAGTTGCGTATAAAGTCAATTAAGAAATACAACACCTTTGAAATTCAAGGTGTGATAGGATTGCCATATTCTTTCCTTAAGTAAATTTAATGCATAATGAAATTATTCTCAATACTGCTATACCATTTGATACTGTTGACTATCTCCTACATCCTTCAGAGTCATCATCTCCCTTAGCTTCTTGGCATGATCGTCTCTTGGTTCTGCTATCTGATAGTTCCTTCTTCGTGATAGTATCCTGTTTTCTCTTCCTCCTCCACTCCACTCCAAGATTCTTTTCTAAGTTCTCTCTTCAGGATCTCCTGACAAGCTCACCTCCTCTATGCTCAGCACTAAATGATGGCTTCACTCATTGATAAGCAGTTGGCATCAATACCTATGGGCCTCATCTTTCTCTCCAGCCTTAGTATCTGCAGTGTATATTCCCAATTCAGTGTGCCAGGGATATCTTGGACTCAGCAAAATTCCCATACAATTTTTTTTTCTGAATCTTCTCTTTATGCAGTTAATATTTCATTAATAATAATTAATATGTTACTTGCACTCCAGTTCAAACTATTTGTCCTTTTCATTCCTTCTTTACCTTTGGCATTTATTTCAAATTGGTTACCAACTTCTGGCAATTCATTATTCAAGAAATGTATTTTTGTTTATAACTTATTACATCCGAGGTACTGAGAGAAGAATGAACTTAATATGAGTAATTTTTTCGTTTGATATAAAATTCATGTCTGTTGATTCTGCCTTACAAAAATAACATCCAAATTTGCTACTCTTGGATCTGCAAGCATTAACTAATTTTAGTTCTTTTAGCTGTTCCTTAATGGAAACATGGAGAAGGAACTGATCCCACACTAGCAAACATAAGGGCTACAGTTTCTTCAATGTGAAATTTCACACTTTTATGGAGGAAAGTAAATGTACAAAAATCACAGGAGCAGTGTCTTAGAGAGTGGTAAAGGTTGCAGAGGTTGACTTTTCTATGAAGCAGAGCTGTGGTTATAGGTTATAGTAAGCAGCATTTGCCTCTTAGCATTGACAATACCTTTCTTCTCAGAAAGGTAACAAAACACTGGGAAATAGTTATCTGGATGAATCAGTTTATTTTATTCATCCAGTGTTCCTCCAGCATTCATTTACGGCTACAAAGAGACCCACGTGAATAGATATGTGGATATCTATGTAAGGTAACAGAGCCTGTTGGGAAAACCCAAAAGAACCTTTCCATTTAAATCCTTATAGCCATGATGGGTATTGATGTTCCTGAAAAGTTGCCTATCCTATCCTCATTTCAAAAGCATCTCATTTTTATATTTAGACCTTCCCCCCCCCCCACCCAATCCCTCCTATGGGAAGCCTGCCCTTTAAAGAGGAAAACTGAATTCCTCCTCATAAAATCCCTTTCGGGGCAACTCCTTAAAGAACACATTGAGTGACCTGTGTCATCACGAAATGTTACTTCTATCTTCAAAACAATAAAATGTCAGAAGAACGTTCCCCTAAGAGAATTAAGCCTAAAAAGCCATTTTCAAACTCTTCCACAGATCTCTCTATTTGGCAAAAAATATTTCTTTTTGGAGGCTGGGGAAAATGGAAACATGGAGAAGGAACTGAGAGTACCTGGGAGTTAGCGTGAGAGAGGAACTGTGCTTCAAGGGTGGAAGCTGTGTAAATGCCGGGACACATTTGCCCTGCACTCAGAGGGATGCTGTGCGCTCTGGATCCCCCCAGTGCTGCTCGCAAGGTGTCATTAGCATTGCTTACAACAGCATTTCTGCTTAAAAGCAAAGGTTCTACAGAAAGTCCTTTTTAGCAGAAGGTGGAAAGAACCCTCTGGAGCAGAGAACTACATTTTTTTGATTGCTGCCAGTGTGCTTTCTAGAGATCACAGATGCCAAGAGCAGGGATTAGCCCGGTTTGGAGCACAGCACTAGCCGAGGCTGGCATGCAGGGGTACGATACCTAAGGTGGGTGCACTGGCACTTCGTTTACGATCTTCAGATATCCCAACAACGCACACAATCACACGCAGCCCAATGGAGAGAACACAGGGGAATGACAAAATGAAACACAGATCAGACTCCGACTCCCAAAACACACACGATGGAGGGATGGCAAGTTCCCCGCGACTCCGTGAACAGTGTCAACATGGGATTAATTTGTCCACATGAAACACAGATGGGAAGCTGGTTACAATGAAGTCAGAGGGAATCATGGTTTCAAGTCTTCCTTCTGTGTACACCGCAAGAGAGCAAGAGTCTACCCAGAGCTACTTTCAGGTAGACAACTGAATTAAATCCACGGGAGAATTTTTTTTGCTAATTTCCTCCCTACGTTGTTCACCGTCATTTCTAAGAGAAAGGCATAAATAGATGAGTCGGGGAAGGGAAGAGACTATTCTCTTCCTTGTTCTGATGAAATTCGGGTAAAGGCGTTTTGGCCAGACGTACCCAAGTTCGGCGCACTTGCTGTCCTCTTATTACTTTTTATCTTAAAGAAGCCACGACCGAAGGAAGATCTGCCTTTTCGGGTGCCAAAGGGGTTCTCATCCATGCAGGCATCGTGCCCTGGAGGTTTAGGCGGGAGGGTCCCAAATGGGCTGCTTTCTACTGGAGCTTTATCCTGAGAGAGAAGTAAAAACAAATGAGGCAACACCAATGCACATAATTATGAGCACCTGCCAGGCACAATACTAAATATGTTACACATGTGGGATTGTACTTAAAGGGATAACTAAATAAATTATGAATATCAAGTGCCACATGAGAAGTTTAAAAAATCAATTCTGAAAGCTACTTAAGAAACAACAACAAAAACATGCTTGTCACTAACTTATAATCCGTATCGTATATAAAAATGTAATATGCAAATTAACCCTCACAAGATGGTTGCCTAGGACCAGGCCAACAGGGAGGGGTAGTGAGGGATGACCAAATGACTGAACAGCAGGCTGTGTGGGGCGACCAGGCAAGCAGAGGCCCATGAGGGGCGACCAGGTCAGCAGGAGGGGCAATTGGGGGCAACCAGGTCAGCAGGAAGGGCAATAAGGGGTGACCAGGCCAGCAGTGGGGGGAAAGTTAGGAATGACCAGGCAGGCAGGCAGGCAGCTGAGCAATTAGGAGTCAGTGGTCCAGGACTGTGAGAGGGATGTCCAACTGCTGGTTTAGGCCTGATCCCCCAAGGGGTCCCGTATCGGATAGAGTGCAGGCTGGGCTGAGGGGATCTCCCCCCACACCTGTGCATGAATTTCATGCACCAGGCCTCTATTATTTAAATATTAGGGACTTTAAATATTAGGATATAGAAATTCTCAAGTGTTCTTTGCCTCATCCCCCCAAAAAAACATAGAAATAAAAAGCCAGAATAGCAACAGACTTCTTTTCCAACAATTATGACACAGATCTGGATATGAGACAGTCCACATTCTTTATAATATAACTGCATCTATAGAAGCCCAATTCAGCATAATATAATTGCTCAAGGAAGTAGACATTATTCTACACAGGCAGTGTAAGGAGACGGTATTCCAATTATTTTAAATATTCTCCTCAAAGAATTAATAAAATGAAGGCATAATCAACAACTGTTTAACTTCAGCTATGATTAAATTATGCTTTCAATGTTTGAACTAGCAATTATAGTAACATGGTCTTTTATTTGGTTTCAGTATTATGCAACAATGCTTTTGTTTGGATGCTCTCATTTCTCTAACATCTCCTGCCCTATGTTTCTTCTGAAGTGGAGAAAAGGGCCAGGGGATGGATATAGGCTTTTAAGGTGGTTGGTTCTTTTACTCTACATACCGACTGCTTATAGTCACTAAACATTTACAGATGCCTCAGTTTAGTGGCATAAAAATATTCATGTTTTAACACTGATGTCAAAAGCACTCCGCTATTGAATTGGCGGGGCAAAAAGAACAGAAGATGACTTTAACCACAGCTGTGCCCACTGTCTGTGCTTCCTCTATTTTACCCACTCTGTGACTCAAGGCGCTGAGAGCCAATAGTCAAGAAATTGCATCTGGAAGTAGCCTGTCTACCAGACGGTAACCTCTATGAGGTTCCTGGTCAAAACCCAGAGGAAAGAAGGACTAGCGCACATCTTAATAATGCTTCTTAAACAGCGAAATGTTTGCTGCAGGGGGGCAGTGGTTGCATAAAATAAACCTCTGGGAATCTAAGAAGCACTTTCTGTGAGGTCAAAGGAAGCCCAGTGACAATCGCTAAGAACGTTTTTAAACTGTGTGACGGAGAGTTTGGCATTTTCTTTTTGTTTTTCCAATAACCTATAGAGCTGAAATTCATATAACATAAAATTATTCTAAAGGAAACAACGCAGTGGCATTTAGTACATTCACAATGTGTTGCAAACGACTACCTCTATCTAGTTCCCAAAGGCCTCCATGTTCTAAAGGAAAAGCCCTTACCATTCAGCGGCTTCTCCCCATTCCACTCTCCTCCGCCCTGGCCACCACCCACCTCCGTGCCGTCTCTATGAATTTATCTAGTCTGAATAGTTCACATAAATGGGATAATATATTATGTGATCTTTTGTGTCTGGCTTCCTTCATTTAGCATGTTGCTGAGAGTTCTGTCTACTAAATGCATTTAAGCAATCTTATGCATTAGAAGTCTAAAGCGTTTTTACGTTGCAACCGGGACACAAAAATTACCTCTGGAGGCTTCTGAACAGACTCCTTTTCCTGTTCAAAACAACAACAGTTAAGGTTGTTATAGGAATCCCTTATATATTCATAACTTGTCACATACAATTCCATAAGTTAAAATAAATTTACATATATATATATATATATATATATATATATATATATATCCCAGCTACAAAAATCTCAGTTTCATTTATTTCCAGCAATGTTTTACTATTAAAAGTCTCTATTTTTGGTTTAGGCACTACTTTCAATCCTTCCTATCATACTTCTTGATATTTATCCTTAACTTCATAATTTTCTATTAGCTAATAATTTTCCGTCAGAGAAACCACAAGCTCTTCTTAAAGAGTTTTACTTGCAACATGGGAAAAGATGAAGGTCCCCAAATATTTTCTTCTCAGGGTAACAGACAGGAAAAAAAACAACACAGAACCAACCCCATCTGATGACTCCTTCTTCAGATTGCCCAGGCTGCTAGACTTCTGCAGACTTGAAGTTCTAAAAATAACAATAATAATAATTAGGATTAATAATAAGTGGCTCTGGTGCCACTGTTTTTAAGTAGGATATAGTGGAAAGAAACTAAAATTGCGTGTGGGTTGAATCCTGGTAATAAAAGAACATCTGGATTCCGGCAGTCACTTATGTGCTTAAGAAAATTATAACATTTAGTTCCTTTAAGAGCAGGGGTGGTTAACTGTCCTGCCAATAACTGTAAATGTCCCGCACACGTTTGAGTAGCTGGAAAAACACTTAACACTGTCCTTGTGATGTCAATATTAGAAAATTTAAACCAGTTTTCCGAGGCCCACTGCCAGATCCTTTGCGTGTATACATTTACATTGGGAACTTTTTTAGGTACACATGTACTACCGTGTTTTCCCGAAAATAAGATATCCTCTGAAAATAAGACCTAGCGCATGGAAAGATAAGACATCCCCTGAAAATAAGACCTAGCGCAACTTTGAGAGAAAAAAATTAATATAAGACACTGTCTTATTTTCGGGTAAACAGGGTATTTACATATAATCCTCTAATTAAAATAAAGGATGAAGCCCTGGCCAGTGGGCTCAGTTGGCTGGTGTTATCCTGTGCACCGAAAGCTTACTGGTTCCATTCCCGGTTAGGGCACATGTCCGGGTTTTAGACTAGGTCTCCAGTAGGGGGAGTGCAGGAGGTAGCCAACTAATGTTTTGCTCTCACACATCAATCGATGTTTCTCTCTCCCTCTCCTCTCCTCTCTCTCTAAAAATCAATTAAAGTATCTTTTAAAAAAATAAAGGATGAAATTTTTATTTTTCAATTCACGAAGAAATCAGTTTTCTGAGTCTGATAGAGCACTTCAATTGTAACTCTGATCAAAGCATATAAGAGGAATCCCTATTACTGTCCATATAAATCATGTGCTATCCTCGTGATGGCAAAGTGACACTGGAAACATTCGGAGACTCTTTCACATGATTAGCATTCAGTTTTTTAGAGCTGGGCTTATTTAAAGCTGAAGGCAAGAATAGGTGACCAGTTTCAAAAGAGAGAGAAAAAAAGGTAATACTTTTGCTCAAAGAAACAGAATAATAGAAATATACAAACAAACGTTTAAAAGGCATTTGTCATGTATTTATGTGTAAATACATTGCTAGAAGTGCCTACCACCAAATAAAGTAAAATATGATGGTGAAAAAAATCTTATCTTTGAGTACTTTTTGAGGAATACATTTTCCTAATTTAATCCAGATGTGAACATGGATAAACATAGATAGTAGGTCAGTTTATCAATTTGAAAGTGCAGAAAACCAGTGCAGACTTTCCAGCCACCACACTACTCTGTGATTCTCTTCTGCAAGACTTAAAATATCAGCACACAAGTGAAATGACAAGCACTGAACTTCAGGGGGAAACTGGTAAAGAATGCTAAAGATCTACAGAAACTCAGCATGACACAATGGTAAGCAAGCAAATATTTCTTTGTCAACTTACATCTCCCACCCTCATATCACCCCCACTCACAGTCACTCACTCTCAGGGTTGGTTATTATTAGTGTAAGGGAAGCTTCCTCTCCCCCAAGTACCAACCACATTTTTCACATTCAATCACTTATAACTTACGAAAGGCTATCAGACATTTGGGTTTCAACAGCAGCGCCAAGGGTTCTTTTTCCATCACTAAAATTTTAAAAAAAGAAAGTATTTGTGAATTTAAGACCATAGATATTCAAAGTGAACAGAACTGTCAAAAACAAACAATGGTGCAAGGAAAGTTATTTTTCTATTTTGGTATTGTGTTTTTTTTTTATTTTGTCTAATTGTAAGATTAGGCAATTAACCTGGGAATATGTTACCCCCAGATTCTATTTGCCTATGCAGAAACTACTGTATCCCTGTCCCATCTCTTTCATAGCCATGGTCCAAAGAGCCTCAGGCACAGGACTGTTGCTATTCTGCTCGCAGCCCTTTGAGGGCCACCCAGGACCTAAAGCATACTCTCCCTCTCTAACCTGACCACAATACATCCTCAGCCTCATCTCCAGTTACTTCTGGCTAGAAATAACACAATACTGATATGGTTTCCTGGCGCATGTCTTGCTGTTTCTTCCTTCTCTGGGTAAAAATTCGTGCCGGCAATAAATGCAAAGCACCCTTGCTTTTGGTTGATTTATTTTTCCAAACATTTATATTTGCAACATTAGGACATTAATGACATACTTTTCCTCAAATGAAGTCTCACACTTAGGCAATTTTGCTTTCTCGGGAGTTTCCAAGCCTTTGGATGCTGGTAATAATGAAGGGGTTGAAACCTGCAAGACGCTGATGTGGAACTGTAATATAATAATAAAAAGGCAAAAGTGAGTTACATCAGACAAAACACAAGCCACAGAGCAACCAGAATCAGGATAGAGACAGCTAGAAGTGCTAATCAGAGAAAACATTCTGGAGGAAGGTAGTTTTGAACCCAGTTCTGAATAAGATGCTGAGTATTGTAAGATACAATAAATACCATTAATTAAGTTAATAGTAACATCCTAACATTTGCCTAAGGCAAATCACTTCACTGGGGGCATCAATCTTCTCTGAAAAATGAGCACTACTTTAACTTTAGTCTTTGCTGCTAGTCTAAAACAGAATGTTGGTCACTCCAGTTAATTATTACTCTATATATTATGTGTGAAGAAGCTAATTTCAATTAACAGCATTGATGACAAATATATTTAAAACAACTTCTAAGTACATGTACTTTGTGATTATAATATTTAAAACACTCTGCTTAATAGTACTAATATTACAACAACAGAAAATACACAATACACTCTCCCACATAAATGCCTTATGTATCATAAGGATGGACTCTGAAAAAAAAATTATGTGTTCTGGGTTTCAATAATTTTTGACTACCAGAGAGCAATTAAATGGTTGAACACATCATGAACAAATAAATAAAACACTTTAGCAAATATTCCAGTAAAAAAAAAAAAAAAAAAAAAAAAGAGCAAAACTCACCTCAGGGAGTTGACTCACTTCTGCAAGTCAACCAACCATGACTCACCTCTGGAAGTCAGCCAGCCAGGTAGGGACTGACACCAGCAAACACACCTCTAAAGGCCACCCATTCAACAACAGCCTCACCTTCATAACCACATCCGGCTGCTGTCAACTCACTCCTGCTTCTTCTGAAGGTCCACCAGCCCCTGAGCTTCAAGCATCCTAAAACCCTCTCTAGGATCAGCTGGGAAAGAGTATCCTTGACCATCAAAGTCCATTCACTTAAATAAGCAACAAATCCTGCTTTGTGAGTTTTGTTTCAGTTATTGAGCAGTGGTCTCATCCTTGAACACTATCAAAGGTTATAAAATGTGAAATCTGTTCAAGTAACCAGTTGGGGCCCTACACGGTGTGGGTCACGCTGGGCCCCGCATCAGCAAACCTGAACTGAAGGAAATGTCTATGCTCAGCTCTCCCAGAAAAGAAAGGCCTCAACCAAGCAGTACTGGCTCCCACAGCTGGCCTGACGGGACTCCAAGACTTCCCTTTGCTCCATGTAAAGAAAGTAACCCTGCTTTAACCAATCAGCAAGTGCCACACATAACGTCCCTGCCCCTGCTCACTTCTACACAAAGCCTTTCATCTGGCACAGCTCCTTAGGCCTTTCTATCTCATCTCCCAGACTGGATGCTGCTGGGTTCATGAATTGCTGCATTAAGCCAACAAGACCTTTTAAATGTACTCAGTCAAATTTTGTTCTTTAACAAGTCACCTTATTATAAAATAGATTATTTCACTATCTTTTTTTTTTCTTTCTCCAGTTTTAATCTTTATGATTTATCCTGGACAACTTATTTAGCCATCATCCCTGCTTCCTTAAGTTCTTATCTCGTTGGGTTCCTACTCATGAAAATAAATAAATAAATAAACAAACAAATAAATAAATAAACTTCTACTAGCAGACTGATTTTATTTCCTTTCAAACTTCAGGGCTTTAAATCCAACCTCAACTCTCCCTCTTGGCTTTTCTTTTAAAACAAGTGACCTGGTGCATGGATTCATGCACATTGAAAGGAAATTAATTAGAAAGTGGCCATCAGGGCAGGACTAGGTGAGATAGGGCCTTGGAGCCAACCTCCTGCGGTCTCTCCCCCGTGTCTGCAGAGTGAGAAAGGTCCCTCTGGCAGGTGGGGTACCTGGGCCTGACCTGTGGGGGTCAGGCCAAAACTGGTTCTCCGACATCCCCCAAGGAGTTCCTGGAGTGCAAGAAGGAACTCTGCAAACTTGCTATCATACAGGGTGTGGAATGCAAATGCAAGTGTGCAGTAAACTAGATTCAGGGCTGACAGTGCCCCAGCAACAACTTTAACCCATGGCTGAAGGTGGAATTACGTGGCCCCATGAAGAATAGGGCTCCTTCCTTTCTGGTTTCAGGGTGCATCACTCAAGAACTGCCACTGCCAAGTCACTGCAGCTTGGAAGCTCCTATGTTAGCCATCTGCTCCTTGGTGATCACTACGCGTTATAGTGACTGGCAGGATGGTTGGACACTTAGCACATTAGTTATATAAATGAAAATTCATGCATTGAAGGGAGGGCCCCTTCAGCCAATCCTGCCCCCTCTCATAATCCGAGAGCCCTCAGGAGCAGGAGATGACCCAGTGATCAACGCCCCATCACACCTCTGCTGCTGCCATTGCCAGCAGTACAAGCCTCACCTGGCCCTGGTTACCTGAGCCTTGAGCAGCCCTGGGCAGCTGGGCAACTGCTATCTGAGGCTTGCTTGCACCTCAGGCTGTTCCTGGGCAGCTGGGGGGCTGAGGGGACTGGGGGACTCCAGAGGCAGGTGCACAGAGTGGCTGGGCTCGCCTGGGGGCGAGCCTGGCCTTGCCGTGCACCTCCTGCCCCAGCGGGGCTTAGGGGACTGGGCACCACCATCTTGTGTCTGTGAGTACCACCAACTTTGAGGGTGGGGCAGTCAATTAGCATATTCTCTCCTTATTGGCTGTGGGCATCACCATCTTTGCAATGGCAAGAGGGTCAATTAGCATATTCCTTCTTTATTAGATAGGATATATACTAGAGGCCCAGTGCACGAAATTCATGCATGGCGAGGGTTCTTAGCAGGTGCAGGCTGCTGGCTGGGGCCTCCCTTCATTCCACACCACTCCCTAGTGATCAGCGCACATCTAACTCTCAGTTGGTAGTACTCCTGCCCGTGGGGACAATTTGCATATTAGACTTTTATTATATAGGATAGATGTGACTGGTCACCTTCATTTCCCATCAAATCATCCCTGTTCCAAACTCAAAATCTCTCATTAAAACTAAAATGCTTGACCCTGGCTGGCTCATTTGGTTGAGCATCTTCTCATGCAACAAAAGGTTGCCAATGAGATTCCTGGTCAGGGCACATTCCCCAGGTTTTGAACTCCATCCCTGGGAGGAGGTGTGCAGGAAGCAGTTCATCAATGTTACGTTCTCACCTGGATGTTTCTCTTTTCTCCCTTCTTCTCTCTCTAAAAATAAACTATTCTTTAAACGTCTCTTCCCCACTTAAAAAAAAAAAAAAGAAAAGAAAAGAAAAGAAAAGAAAAGAAAAGAAAAAGAAAAAAACTGCAGGGCACCCAGCAAAGACTTTTATAAGGATATGAGATTATCTGGGTACATCCTACATATAGCAGCATCCTCTCTCTATAAATGCAGCCCACTCAATGGCTATCGAGTGTAACTTTCCCTCAAGTGTAAATGTATATTTAATAATTAGGGACTTCTCCCCCCTAAAACATTTCTTTTCCTTAGCTAATCCCTCCCCCCCTCCCCCAATTTTGTTGACATATAGTTGACATACAGCACTGTATAAGTTTTCGGGTTTACAGCATAATGATTTGACTGGTTTATAGAAATGGTTACCACAATAAGTTAATGCCCATCACCTCAGATACTAAAACGGGAAGAAAATGTGTTTTTTTTTTTTTCTTGTCATGAAAACTTTTAGAATGTACTCTCTTAGTAACTTTCAAATATACCACACACCAGTGTTAATTTAGTCATATGCTTGTACATTACATTCCCAGTACCTATATTTATCTTATAACTGAAAATGTATAGCTTTTCACCACCAATCCAACCACTACTAACTCCTTGTTAATGATATATTTTAGCCTTTTCTTATATCGATATTTAAGAGAAATGTTAATTTTTATCTCCTTGAATTCATTCTCTTTCAATTTAAATTTTATCTTCTCATGATGTAATTATCAGCAACAGATATAAAAAGTAAAGATGCCATTTGGTTTCTTCTAATTACTTACAGAGATGAGCAAAGAAGGAACTTTTAAGTATAAGGAATCTAAGGTTGTTTTGTTAAAAAATAAAACTGTTTCCCATTCCCAGTCTCTCCAGATAGCACATTATATTAAAACTAGAGGCCCGGTGCAAGGATTCATGCACTGGAGGAATCCCTCACACTGATGCACAATTGGGGCCAGGGAGGGACCATAGGAGAGCTCCAAAGCATGTCCGGCCCATCTTACCCAGACCCAATCACCAGTCCCCAACAGCAAGCTAACCTACCAGATGGGGCATCTGCCCCCTGGTGATCAGTGTGCGTCACAGCTACCAGTCAAACGTCACTTAGGCTTTTATATATATAGATTAAGAAATGGCTTCAGGGTGTTATCAGGAAGACAGTCTTAAAATGAAGACGTGTGTGTCTTTGTTAAGATCTTAGGAAAATTTAAGGGGGTGCTGTCTCATTGAATCCTTACAAAAAGATCTTAAATTCTAAAAATAAAGTGATATCCCACAGTAGCCTTACAGGGAACCTAAGGTAGAGAAGGTTTATTGTGAAGGTATCGAATTAACTTGATAATGATTTTATCTAATGGAGTAGATAATAGATTGACTCACAAGAAATTCTGAATGTTTAAATACTCTACCAAGGTAGACTAAAAGGGACAAAGACAGGAAAAAATTAAAGATGACTTTGGACCTATATGGATACTTTTACAGAAAACTACTATCTGCAAGCAAATCCCCTTCTTGTATGAAAAGGAAGGATAACTCAGAAGAAAAACCAAGAGCCCAGAGAACTGAGTCTTAACAAAGGAACTGGCACCACGTGCCTGGCTGGATTTTGGAATTGTTTGAACTAGTAACACCTGTGTGCCTTCTGTTGTCCCTCTTTTAAAGGAGAGGGCCTGTAGCAGTTAGGTTATACCTATCCCACAACTGTATGTCAGGTGTGTGGGGAACAGAGAGCTTGTTCCTTAAGTTCCCAGTTTTTTAAACTGAATGGAAAGGTACCCAAGAAGCTGTGTCTAAGAAGATGCACCTGAGGAGTTTCACCTACATTATGACCTGGTCTGGATGACAAGTTCCTGGGATGCTGATGTCTAATTGGGATGAAACTAAGGGATCTTTGGAGAGGGGGTGGGTATACTGTGAATAAGAGAGGGATATAAACTGTTATAGCCAGGGAGTGAGGGGCAGATTTATTTTCCAAATATGATCCCACCAATATATCCCATCTCACATGTTCTTGCAATGTGATAATGCCACTTGTCCATCAAGAGGTAATTGATACTCCTTCTCCATGAATCTGGTGGGCCTATGACTAAGGAGAAGAGATGCTACATGACTTCTGAGATACATCACAAAGGGTGATACGAATTTGCCTAGTCCTCTTCTTGGGATGCTCATTTTCAGGACCCAGCCATTGTATTAAGAGGAGGCCAAGAAGTCACAGACCAGGGTCTCAGCTGAAGTCCCAGTCAACGGCCAGCCTCAACCACCAGACAGATGAATGTGTGGACTTGAGGTGACTGAAGCCCCAGCCTTTGCGCCACTCCCACTGCTGCCAAGTGGAGCAGAGACCAGATGTTCCTGCTGAGCTCTGTCCAAAGGGCAGATTTGTCAGCAAAATAAATGTTGTCATTCAAGACACAAAGTTGTAAGGTGGGGTGCAATAGATAATGGAGAAAAGTATCGGTGGCAATTGGATGTGAAAGTAAAATAAATGAGTTTAAGACTTTATTCTCCTCCAGTTGCTTCTTCCAAATCTAAAGAAGCTAAGAGGGAATTTCAATCCATCATCTTACAGCAAGCATGTCAAACTCTTAGGCTGACAGGCCATATGCCTTATTTAAAGGAGGCATACAGCCAGCCAGGCCATGAGTTTGACATGCTGTCTTACAGAGTCTCCATCACAGGTGATTCAAATCAATTTCTCTATATAGTTTCCCTTTATTTATTCCCTACTTATTATTTAATATGTAGATTAGAATCCTGTATTTAAGAGGACATCTATCCCCCAAGGGATTCTTATATTTTTCCTGATTGCATAAGCAATTTTGACACTGCCCGGGGCATTTATTTATTAAAGAGAGAAAAAACGAACACATACACACATTTCAAATGAAAACCTATAGGACATTAAAAACTTCCAGGACAAACCAAATCATCAGTAACCAAACTGAGAAAAAAAATCCCACATCTTTCGTGTTGTCCACAGCACTTCAACTTTCACTGACACACTTTCCCCAGCAGAAAGAGGCTATTGGAAATCTATACATACCTCTTCGGGAACACTGGTGTTCAGTGGGTCACGACTGGGAGACCCCATCACTGGTGTGGATGACAGACCTTTCTCCAGTTCCCCAAAACCCGGTGCTTCCAGCAAAGTGGAGATGGAACTGGAAGTGGGCAAGTCGTCATAGTCACTCTCTTGGCCTAGGAAAAGATGAAGAAAACAGAGGACCAACAGCAAGTTTTCATTTATAGTTCACTTTTGGAAGAAGAATCCCAAATGTATTAAATGTAAAAAGATTTCTGATGCTAAAAAAAAAAAAAAAATCAAACAGTCAGCTTCTGGAATCACTTGAAAATACACGGGACCTAGGAAACAACACCTTCAACTAGTAGCAACTGAGGGCCTGGGGCTTTGGGCCACGTGAATACCCAGCAGTGGTAGTAAGAGAGGTCTTAACTGATAGAGGTGTTAACAGGGGCAGTGATAGACTCACGAGACTGAAATTAAAAAGTGAATTCAGCCTGGCTGGCGTGGCTCAATGGCTGAGAGTCTACCTATGAACGAGGAGGTCATGGTTCGATTCCTGGTCAGAGCACATGCCTGGGTTGCAGACTTGATTCCCAATGTGGGGTGTGCAAAAGGCAGCCAATGAATGATTCTCCTCATTGAGGTTTCTCTCCCTTTCTCCCTCTCCATTCCTCTCTGAAATCAATTTTAAAAATATATATATTTTTTAAAAAGTGAATTCAGTTCAACAACTCTCCTGTAATTTTGTTTCAAAATTTGGAGGCTTTACACAAATTTCAGTTCAGAAATTACCAAGTTGAGGAATACCAGTGGTACAAAAAGAGTCACCATTTCATCAACTCCATTTCATCACTACTGAGCTCCTAAAAACACACTCACACACAAAACACACACACGCGCACACACACACACACACACAGTGAAGAAAAAGAGATAATGTCCTTTTGAGCACCCAAAAGGGGCCTTTTATTCCACTCATCTTAAAACAGAAAGAAGAGCATAATGGAAAAAAGCAACCACGAGTGTCTTCCAAAAGACTTTAATCTCTAGTGCTTATTTTTAAAGCAAATAACCCCATCTATGCATTGATAATAAGCAAGAGAACTTTTAAAGTCCTTAACATTTTTGTTTGTTTTTAATTACTCCAAAAATTTGTACAGTTGAAGACAACTAATAAAATAATAATATAAGAAACTGTATAACTATCTTTTTTTAGATGTCTTACGGGGTTCTTGTGTGTGTATGTTTTCTGTTAATTTAACATTTTCAAAACTGAACATGATGTCCCTTAACCATGCCAATGTTCTTTCTCTAGGTTTTTCTATCTTGGAAAATGGAACTATCATCCAGCTAGTTGCTTTAATCAAAGATCTTCCTTAATTCTCTCTCTTCTTCACACTCCTCCACTTGTTCAACACATCATTATTTTGATTCTAACACCAAAATATATTTCCAGTCAGTACCATCAGATCTTTCCACTTGGAATACTGCCATGATCTCTTAAATAGCTTTCCTTCCTTCCAACACTACTCCCTCCCACTAGGGTCTATTTGTTACAAAGATCTTACCATTAACTTGTTAAGACCCTTCAATGGATTTCTGGGGGCCAAGTAAGAGTGAAAACTCCTCATATGTATGACCTGGTTGGTACTCACCTGTAGAATCCCATTTCACTCTTCCTCCTGGTCACTACCTTCCAGTCACACTGGTCTTTTACTTCTTAAACATATCACCTCCTCCCTAACCGCCACCCCCCAAAAAAGTTCTTGCGTGTGCTGTTGTACTTTCTTTCTGGAATGCTATCTAACGGACCCCTTAGAGAGAGGCTGTCCCTGGCCAACCAGTCTACAGTATGCTCTTTAGCCGATATGCTTTCAGGCAGAGAACAGATGCTGAACAATATCATTGCATGGATGAGTGAGCTATTTAATTAGAGAGAATGGGTATATTTCAAAAAGAAACCGAGGCCAACTATTATATAAAGGATTATGGCCACTTAAAATCCAGTTAAGTAGGAGACATTTAGAACTACACTACCTTTTTTACCTTGGGCCAGTAATACTGTATCTTGCATTTTCTTGTACCTGTTCAGGCACTGTCGAAGATCTTCTATTTTCCGATCCTATTAATAAAAGAAATTGTCATCTCTAATGCTATGATTTTAAAATGGTAAAAGTAATTGCAACACAAAGACAAGTAGACATGAATTATTTATATTATTTAAAGAATGCTTCTATACTTTAGTAAAACTAGTAACATCTAGAACATCTTTCCTACATAAGAGATATAGAAAAAGTACCTCTAAATTTAGAGATCATATCACTCAGCTGCCATCTTTAAAAAACAAAAACAAGGTAGTAAGATACAAAAAAAAAAGAAAGAAAGAAAGGAAAAAAGTCAACTTTAATTACTTTCCTCTCCAACTTATTTGCCAAGTCTTGAAAAACAGATCTACACCTGCTGTCTTTATCAGCTTTCAGTCATGGCCATCTGGCTCTACCCTTCTCAAAACACTCCTTTCAATTAGTCACCAGAGACCTATTTACTAAAAACAATGAACACTTTTATATTTTCTCTAATTTGACCTCTATTTGGCACTTGATTAACTACTCTTTCTTTCCTCTTTTACTTTTCCTTCCACTCTTTCTTTTCTTCTATTTTGATTTCTTAATCCGTTGGCGAGATAAGATATTCTACTTCTATAACCTCACTATTACCCAACCCAGACAATAAAATATAGAGCCTACAGTTTTGTTCTTTACCCTCTTCTCTTTTCCCCTTGCCCTAATTGTGGTGGATTATAAAAGTGAACTCTCTAGCTCCACCCACATTGAGTGTGGGCTTGACCATGTGACCCACTTTGGCAAATAAATTTGGTTTAAACAAAGGCTTGAAAAGTGTTTGAACTTTAGGGTTTGCCCTCTCCTGGTGCTCTAAGGCCACTATGTGAAGAAGCATAGGCTAGCTAGTCTCCTGGATGATGAAAGACCACTGAGAGAAGAGATATCTCAACTGGACCAACCTAGACCAAGACTGGTCAATCAATAAACAGGTGAGTCAGACCATCCTATACCATTCAGCCCTATCTCAGCCACTGGCTAACCACTGAGATCAGCTAAGCCAGCCCAGATCAGAAGAGCCATCTAGTTAACCCACACAAGTATGGGAAAAATAATGAATGTGACTTGTTACGGAGCCAAAGCTAACTGATACATTAGTTTCTACCAATCCACAACTAATTATACATTTCTCCTAAAATTGAAGCGATTCACTCCCTACCAATCTATAATCCTATACTAATCCTAAAATTTAGATTTATTTTCAACTTTCTATGAGAAATCTCCTTTTAGATGTCCCATGAACACACCAAATAGAACGTATGTAAAATGAACCTCATTATTTGCCCCTAGTACTTCAGCTTCGCTTGGATGCCCTTAACTATTGGAGGGCACCATCATTTACCACATTGATCAAACCAGAAACTCTAAAGTCCCAAGATTTTTAAATTTTGTTAACCTGCAAATTTCTCTAAAATACCTTCCCCTCCCTAACACGTCACTGTCATTGCCTTACTTCAACCTCTCTTCATTTCTCATCTAGCTTCTTAATTGTTCAATCTTTACTCCTGCCTCTGTTCTGCTACCAGAGTTAGCTTCCAAATGGCAATTTTAATTATGTCACTGCCCAACACCTACAACCTAAGGTCCCAGATCATTAGCCTAGCCATACAAGGTTGCCTATTATTCACTGTAGCTCTTTTGTTAGTCTTATACACCTCTTCACCTATACCTCATGTTCCAGATCTTTCCCAGAATGCACTAGGCCTTGATTTTGAAACTTGTTTTCACTCATGGATGTTCTAGAAGCCTTCATTTTCCCGATGAGCAACTCTTGCTATTCTTCAGAATTTGCTCAAATATGTCCTCTTTGGAACCTTCTGAAACTACTAAGTAGTTATGTCACTCTTGGTGCACCTATAGCAGTTTGAGCATCTAGTGAGCCCTCCTTCAACATTGGGAGTTTTGTTAGTGTTGCATTTTGAGGGAAGAAAATTAAAAGAAAATGAATGTCAGCGATTTTCTTAAAAAAAAAAAAAAAGCTCTGTTGGCAGCTTGCTAAGGACTTTTATTTTTATTCAATAGTAGGAAAAACTAGCAAATATACATATATATAAAACTGATTGGGTGGGTAAGACAATGAGTTTATTACCAAGGAGTAAAGAACAAATGAAGAGAATGAAAGGCAAAAATAAATCAACAAGTAAAACAGAGTAGGCAAGAATTAGAAAAAGAAACTTTTGATCAATTAGAAAAAAATCAAGAGAAAGTTTTTTGGCAGGGCCTGACTTTCACTTCCTTGAAATTACTCTTTTCTTGGGAAAATGCCTTCTTGTTCCATTCACTTAGGGACACGAGAAGAGAGCAATTCTGATGACAGGAGCTGGACCCAACTGCTGCTGCCTGCTGGCCGGGGGGTCAGGAAAGCCGGGAAGCAATGCATTTCTTTAGCAGAGTAACTGCATCCCTCTCTTCGCAGGATGAAGTGAGGAGGAACAACCGGAAGAAACAAACTTCTGCAGCCATGGCACTGGGCCACCACAGCTAAAACAGAGCCGGGGCCAAACTGATTCCATGGTGCCGGGGCCTCTCTTTTCTGGCAGCTCACTACTCAGGAGAACAGAGACAATCCCCAATGCGAAAGAGGTCGGCAGTATGAAGGAGAAAAAAGTGGACATGACCATGAAGCTGAAGTTGTTCGGAGTTCATACAGTAACCCAGATTTGATAGCTCAAGCATTTTCTGAATTCATGCAGGGAGGAGAGAGAGAATTCTCGGTGGAGCCAGTGCTGCTGGTCTCCATTCCTATCCTTGGCACAGTAACAAGTGTGACCCTGACCGTGAACACACTTGAGCAGGAGGGCAGAAAGCTTGCCCCTCAATGTCAGTTAGTGCATAGGGTGTGTTCTTTCAAACGGCAATATCTCAATAAAATGCACAGAATGATCAAAGTGGTGCTATTACACACCCAAATAAATATTTAAATTCCATCTAGATACCTTTTCTTCATTTGCTGCCATCAATGACTCCACAGCCTTTTTCATCTTTTGTACTTCAATATCTGAAAATATCACAACATCAAATCAGAAGTCAGTTTAGTTAACGTGTGTGACAGTAATGAGAAGCTACCGGCTCTTCAGATTGAAATGTTTTAAGGTAAAGATGTTACTGATCTGTTTTATTGGTTTGTTTTTAAAAGGGCACATTTGCCATACATGTTGTCTTTCAGGGAAAAATCTAAAAAATGAACACCTTTCTATCTCGCCTGAATAGTCACAGGGTAAGAGAGAGCTAACTACCCTCTCTCAAAGCAACAACAAAATCTTCAAGAGAACAATGGAATGTCGGGGCTAACAATAAAAACACAGACTTTTCAAAAAAGCAGTGGGTAAGAGCAATGAACAAAGTGCACATGACAAAAGCAGACAAAATGATACTCAGTTATAACCAAGATGGAGACACAAATGATAAGAGCCTGATGGAATGTGATATTTACACAAGTAGTCATGCTAAGCTGTAGGTTCCATACAAAAGGATATTAAGTACTTTGCTTCATCTATAAACTTCATTTCCAAATGCTAATTGAAAACATAAAGGCCAGAGTGAGATGACTGTCATTTCACTTAAAATTTGATGTTCAAATACAAAAGCATGTTACTGTAAGACTAAAAAGCAAATACTCTAAAGATCAAAAGTCAACCTAGAATGAAGTCACAAATTAAAAAATTTGAAACAGAAAAAAAAATCAGCTATAATTTCCGCCTTTTGAGAAACACAAAAACAAAAAACGACTAAAGGTAATTTTTAAAACAGTGATGGTTTTATATATATCATTATACTGATATAACTATTTTTGATTAAGGTATATTTTATGGGAATTGCCTGTCTTTTCTTTACTTTTTTTAAAAAGGCAAGCCGAAACCGGTTTGGCTCAGTGGATAGAGCGTCGGCCTGCAGACTGAAAGGTCCCAGGTTCGATTCCAGTCAAGGGCAGGTATTTTGGTTGCGGGTACATCCCCAGTAAGGGGTGTGCAAAAGGCAGCTGACCAATGATTCTCCCTCATCAATGTTTCTAACTCTCTATCCTTCTCTCTTTCTCTCTGTGGAAAATCAATAAAAGATATTTTTTTAAAAATTGAAAAATAAAAAAGGCAAATTCCCTTGATTTAAGAATTCAATGTCTGGAGGAGAGAGCCCTTTAAGATTTATCTTTATGCTGCTTTAAAGAATCCAGGCTCCATGAAACATCCTGGTTACTTAATGCAATTAAATAATTGCATTCTCTTTCAAAACACCAAGAGGGTGTGTTTTAAAAAAACCTCCTAAAGTAGATCTCAGTGAAAAAGTGGGCTAGAAACATTGAAAAGCAAAGTTCAAAACGATCTTTCAACTATGGCAAACCTCAAAAACAGTAGGGTTTCATAGGAGGGTAAACATTACTTCCTTCTCTGGCCCTGCATCTCCCGGACCCCAGAGAAAGTGCTTCCTCACCTCCACCACTCTGGGTGCCCTGCTGAGTCCTAGGAGCAACAGGCTGAATCAGATGAGATCTGCTAAAGGATCATTTACTCCTCGTTTTTATGGTTTGTTTACCCTCTATGTTGTATGCTCCAAGGAAATGGAGAGCTTATTGATGAAGCAACTTCACATTTTTGGTGAGAGAAATGTTTTAAAAACACATGCAAAGAACAGTCCAAGTATTGCTTTCGGTGAATGTAAAGGCTGATGGAAATGCACCAAAAACCTTACTTTTGTCTTTGAGCTTCTTTTTAAAATTTTCATCTGTGCAGGAAAACCCATTGAATTGGAAGTTAGCATACATTTTACAACAGTAAATAATATTTTATGAGCGCTATTATTGTCTTCTTTTACCTAAAATAGAGAGACTCTAAACTCACAAAGACGGACTACTGAGCACTATTTTGTGACGTCAAGACTACGTATTATACTACGTAACGCTCTGTGTGCAGTTAAAAAGAGAATCTAATGTAATTAATTCAGAAGGCCTAACTTTGAATTACTGCCTCTGTTATTTGAACTTTCTTTCTTTTTTTTCTTTTTTTTGTTACTTGAACTTTCTGAACCTTGACTTTCTCACCCTGAAATTGGGCCTGTGGAGTACAGCAGTCCTCACACAGTATGTGGTGAATAGCCAGTTAATATTGCCTTGGGTTTTGTTGTTGTTGTTGTTGTTGTTTTCACATTTCCTTTATAGCCAGATATTGGACTTCCTGGACATGACCAGTACATGGCTTCTGTCACATTCAACTCACCACTCAAGTTCAATAACACTGAAGTGGTGTAGCTCCTGCTCCATGTGAGTCCACTGATCATGCAGTTAGATGGTATGTCAACTTGCTCTCAGTCCCTCTATTTCCTTGGTGGCGCACTGGTAGCAAGCCAGTCCTGGGACTGGAATTTGGGTAGTACTTTTCTAACATACCCTCTAGCCTACAAGTCCTAGGATTCCATTTTTATCTTAAAATCCTAAAAGCATGACCTGTCTGTGAATGTCCTTTCCGAACATACAATTCCTCATATGTCAAATGACAGAGGGGTGAATCCATTTTTCGGGATGTTTGATGAATTAAGTTCCCCGATGGGTAAAAAACTGTGATTCCTGTGAGTATATAAAGCCAGGATATTCCAGAGCCAGGAAGACTTTACAGGTCATCTAATTCAAGCTCCTCATTGAAGAGACAATAACAATACCAGCGTTCACATCATAGGTAAAAATGTACCAAAGCTATACTAAATGAAATTTGTTCTGTTTCCACTGGATCAGAAATTGCTTTTGCCCCAGTCATCATCTTAATAACAAAAAGAGGTTAAATTTGACCTAGTTTTGTCAGCTGTTACATGCATTCATATTTCCAAACATAATTGAGAAAAACACATTGCATTCACAGTATTTTCTACCAAGTAGAAGCTACATTATTAAAAATTACAGTCCACGTAGTTTCTAGGACAAGCCTCCTCAATTATGAAAACAACTTTTGGATAAACTCAAGCACTTTTCTAAAAAGAAATTAGCCTAATTTTTTGCTTACTAGAAGGTTAAGAGCTCAATGCATGATAAGAAATTTCCATTGAGTTTTCCAAAGACAGGGTCTTCTCTTCTCTCAACAGGGCAGAGAAGGTTTCTAAATGTCTTTCTGTTTCAAGTTCAGGTTAGAGGGAAATAGTCTTAGGAGATCGTCATGGTTCCTTTTCATTCTTTTTTGACACTTGCTTTTATTTTGCAATTTGGAAATAACTCTCTCCTGATGGTGATTTACAATTTAGTCATCTCAACGAAACACCCAGTAGAGTACAGAGTTGTCCTTGGAAGGCCCAGGAAAGAGTTAGGAGGATTCCCTGAGACCCTAGGCCAAGTGGCTCCTGCTATTCTTTTTTTGTTGCTAAAATTACACATCAAATAACATCAGATTTTTTTTTTTCAGATCTTAGAGGATTTTAACAAAATAAGATAACCAATATTAAATACATATTCCTACCTCGGTCAAAAATTTCTATCCCTTCCCCTTTCATCTTGCAAAACAATTTTTCTTGTAGCCTTTTCACTTCAGATTCTTTCTCTTCCAGTTGTTCTTTTAAAGATGCCAGTTCATCCTACAAATGATAATTCATTTCAAAAAAGTAGCTTATGAATAAAAGAGAATATTCAGAGAGTATGTTCTTAAGTCAATAATTAGTTATTTAGATGCAAAGATGCAAACTTCAGAAATCAGACAGTGGTGATGATAAACAAAAAGCAAGGCAATTATTAAAATCTAATTTATAATAAGTATGGTATAATTATTTCAAGTTTCTTTGTGAACAAATTAAAAAATAAATCTTTTAAAGTGTAAAAAATAAATCTTTTAGTGTAGCCCTAAGATATATATGTTATGTTAAATAAAAAAATTTGACCATGCTAATACAAAAAAATTAGATGCTTAGTATCGTAAAAGCAAAATAAAATGCAAATTGGAAAATAGATATCAAGACTTGCTTGACATTCATTCAGCATTTAAAGATGGCACTTAGGTTCCCTGGACAAGGTAGAGCTTAATTAGTGGGTAAAGTAGCTTGGGAGTGAATATTTATCCTCATTACTAAGATAACAGAACAGAATCTCCTACAACAATGCAAAAAAAAAAAAAAAGATTTAGAAAACAAATTTTATTCTTCTTTTGTAAAATTACATGACTATTATTAAGGATCCCATATTCAATGTTCTACCTATTTACTAATGTTTTCACTTTCAGTTTCATTTTGGTAAAGAGCTTTAGCAAATTCAGTTTTGTTGGCTCTATGTATCGCCAAAAATAATACTAGGTGAAGCTTATAAATGCACCTTTATTTTTAATTTAATTTTATATTCATAAAATAATTTTATTTTCAAACATTTTCTTTTAGTCTTTTCTAAAGATAATAGATTACAGTTAGTACTATGAAAAGGTGTAACTCTCTAAGGAAGCTAACAGGTTTTTACTTATGGAAGGCGTGAATATCAAGCACAAGAAATTTCCAGAGCCCTGGCAAGGAGTGCGGCCCTGTTCTTACTGCGCTTATCCTCAGCAGTAATTTCCATTCGCTGCCATGATAGTTAACTGCTGAGTGCATTTACCTTCAAGAAAATCCCAAAGGAAAAAAGCAACGTCTACTATTGCTACATAACAGAATTCTTTCATAGGTGAACTTGTTCTAATTATTTTGCCAAGCCTGGATCTCAGAGAGCCTAACAGAATAAGATTTTATTTTTTACTAGTTATTCTATAGGTCCCTAAAAACAAATTAAGGATCATACTGTCCCTTTAATTAGCTTTAAACGTATTTTTTTAAAAATAGGCGGCACACAGACAAAATAAATGCACACACCACTAAAAAACACCATCACAGCAAAACAGCACAAGCCAAAAAGCAACAAGCCATGGACCCACATTCCCCAATGTCTACCGCACCTTCAGGGACTCCCATTTTTGTTCCATCCGCTGCTTTTCATACTGCATCTGACCCACTTTGATTTTCATGCTAGAAAGTTTGGCCATTAAGGACTGGTAGAGAGACAGAGGAGTAAAAGAAAGCTACAGATAGAAAAAGATAAGCTAAATAACCAAGAAAACAGTATCAGTTTAAACAGGAGGTTAGATAATTAAGAGAAATGACAGATAATATGTTCTATCAGATTAGTTAAGCCCTGGCTTTTATTCAGAATAGTGCGTAGATCAAGAAGGTCTCCAGCTCAGAGAAAAAGTTCACTTGTAAAATACCTTCTTTATCATATACTGAGTGGGAAACACATTGCATCTATATATTAGTACTCATATATAAGCAATGGAGCCATTTGTTTAAAAACTGTTGCATTGAGAAAACTTACTTTGGTTGATTTCAGTTTTTTTTCATACTGAAGCCTTTCACTGTCCATTTCACTGATTCTTAACCTCAAGTCATTGATCTCCTGCATCAGCCCCTGGAAAGAAACAGGAAAGTACATTAGGAAAGCGGTAGTACACTTCAACATACCAACAAGGCAGCTTGGAAGTCTTAAATCCACAATCCCTCAGATCAGACAAATGAAAACAGTGTTTCTCCTTGAGAACTATCTTTCCACTTAAAACACTATTTTAAATTCCTAATTCCTCTGTCTTACAATGATGAGATCATTTATTAAGGAGCAGCTAATAACTTACCATCATTGATCAGATATTTCTAGAATAAAATTCATTACATAAACTTTCACTTTTAAAATAAACCAGAGAGCAACAGGCAGACTGTCAAATTACAGTGGGGAGGGGAGAAAGATCTGGGGGAGATAATAGATCAACCGAAGGACTTGCATACATGCATATAAGTACAACCAATGGACATAAAACTCTGGGGAGGGAGGGTATGTATGGGAGGAAAGGAGGGGGGCAAAAAAAATCAATAAAATATATTAAAAAAATAAAAATAAATAAAAAATAAAAAAATAAAATAAAATAAACCAGAGAAATTTTCTGTAGTAAAACCAATTATTTTTCAGGGTATTTTCAGTGATATGGTAGATGTTTATAAAAATATTTTTTATCGTTTCTTCATTTGTCTATAAAGTACAGACCATCCATCAACCCAATCTGGGAGGATGGAGTGAAATTAATTAATTAATTTATTTATTTATTTATAAATATATTTTATTGATTTCTTACAGAGAGGAAGGAAGAGGGACAGATAGTTAGAAACATCGATGAGAGAGAATCATCGATCAGCGGCGTCTTGCACACCCCCTACTGAGGATGTGCCCACAAACAAGGCACATGCCTTGACCGAATCGAGCCTGGGACCTTTCAGTCCGCAGGTCGATGCTCTATCCACTGAGCCAAACCGGTTTCGGCAATGGAGTGAAATTTAAATCCTTTAAACCAAAGATTCTCAACCTGAGGATGGATGAGGGCCCTGTCATTTAAAAATATATTCAGTGTCATAATGGATTTTTATATTTGAAAAATGAAAAAATAACAATCCTAATGTTTTCATAATACAAACAGTATAATCAGATACCTTTTCTACTGCCACCTTTATAAAAAAAACTTATATGCTCGTCAAATTCGGATAAATATTGTGAGAAACAGTGATATACTTTTTTGTTTAGAGCCCAGAGAGTAGGACAATTAAATGAGAATTCTAAATAGCAACTCTCCCACCCCCACCCTTCCAAAAGGAAGGGCTCAAATACTCTGTGTAGGAGAATATTTTTTACTACAAGCCACGAAGGCCCCGCCCTGCTTATGGTTAATGTGTTTTTGTTCCTCTCTTTTACGAGACATTTATTCCTGAGCCACAAATTCATGGACGACACAACAGAATTATACAAGAATGCAATAAAAATAAATAAATAGCCCAGGCTTTGTGGCAGTTGGTTGAGCATCATCCCATTCACCACAGGTTTGATTCCTGGTCAGGGCACAGGCCTGGGTTGTAGACTTGATCCTCAGTGGGGGAAAGGGGTGTGCAGGAGGCAGCTGATTGGTGTTTCTTTCTCATAGATGCTTCTATCTCTCCCTCTCCTTCCTCTCTCTGAAATCAATAAAAACAAATTTTAAAAATAGAACAATGCTATAAGAAGGAAAATTTAGTTAATGAGGAATTACTCTAAACTTCCAAATATAATCTCACAAAGGCTAGGAAAAGGGATGCTACAATCAAATACACTTTCCAGAAAACTCACAGCCTTTTAAGGTGTTCTTGTTTTAAAGCATTTCTTATAAAATGGGAAAAAGTATTACCCAGAATTATCAAATAATAATTACTTATTAACATTATTAATACAATATTTCAATAAGAGGGTTTCTATTTTCTCCTTTTGTGAATGAGGACAAGAACTATTTGACATAATGTAATATTTTAGTTTGTGATTCCTAATCTATAAACTCAGAATTCAAGGTGAGAAAAAAGTCAGTTTCTCCCACCTATCTCCCATCTATCAATCATCCTTGCATAACACGAGTTCTCAGTGATATTCCCTCATCAATCTAGTCTTTTTAATATATATTTACCCACTTTCTCATTGCTAAGAAACAGCTTTGATTTCCTGTTAGGGACTGTATGCATTTACCACTTCATTTAGAAATATTAGCAATTTGCAAAGAAGAAGAAACAATGGAAGAAAACAGAATTATAAATTGAGACCATTTTTCTATTTAAAACAAACAAGCAAACAAATAAACAAACAAACAAAGACAAAACTACCCAATTATCTTTTGTGGCAACACTGGCCATGTATCTTCCCATAATAACTCAAGCTTGAAAATCTGAAATTCGCTCCTTAATATGAGACTTTAGAAAGTGATATACAAATGATTTCCAGCTAATATCTTACTAGAAGTTCAGTCCTTTTTAAAAAGAAAATCCCTGTTACTGTCCCCTTTTCCCTTCTAGAGAATGCTTTTGGACTTCCACAAAAATTCAGTTTCTGCCGTTTGCGCTGTGACCAGAAGGGGGCACTGTGGAACGATATTAACCATCTGTCAGCAATTCCTGGCACATCCTCAATTCTCAAGGTTTTAAGACTTTTACCCCCAGTCTGTGGAAGTACCTATAATTCTTTCCCACTCCAATATATTCTCAGAATTTAATCTCCAAGTAACCAAAACTTCTAAGACAAAGTTAAAGAGTTTTGGATTTCTGAAAACAGCCTGGGAAACATTTTATTTTTTATCAAGGGAACAGTAATAGGGAAATGAGCATATTCAATTCAGTTTTAATTTTGAAGACTATTTTAATTATGTTCATATATAACGAAGTTTATCAAACATCCCATAATCTCTGGGAATGTTCACCCTACATTTTATCAATAGTGTTAAATATTTATTGAAAAATTTCAGGGATCAAGTTTACTGGAAGTAGATGACAGGATTACTTGATTGAGAATGCAGCACCAGGGAAAACCAGTTTTATAAAAATGCAGACACACTCAAGAGATGTAAATACTGCTCTGGGGTCTTACCAAAAAATCATACAACATGTACTTCAATTTAGTCCTGATGTTTCGTTAACATTTTATATCCAAATTACCCACAGTCACACAGGTTAAGCCATCCCCTAAACTTTGTGTGTGTAACAAAGAAGCCATCTCCCGATCCCCAAACAGTGTAACTTCTTTCCCTGCATCACGGTGAGCTCCATGCCGTGCCACCTGCGGCCTGAATTCTACTATTGCGTCATGAATGACCGAAGGAAAACTGTTTTTGTTTTTGTTTTTGTTTTTTAAAAAGCACAAGAGCAACGTTAAAGAAATTGGGTAAGTTTCTAAGTTCTAAGAGGCCCAGTCTCAATCAAATGAAAAACATGCTGCCCTAGCCGGTTTGGTCAGTGGATAGAGCATTGGCCTGCAGACTGAAGAATCCCAGGTTCGATTCTGTTTAAGGGCACATGTCTGGTTGTGGGCTCGATTCCCAGTAGTGGGTGTGCAGGAGATAGCTGATCAATGATTCTCTCTAATCATTGATGTTTCTCTCTCTCTTTCCTTCTCCCTTCCTTTCTGATATAAATACAAAAATAAATACAAAATATAAAAAGAAAAACATGCTCATACAGGTGATTGACAAAAAGCTCTACTGTTAATACATGCATCAAATTAGGGATTTCCTTTTGTTCCCAAGGAAGTAATACATGTGACAAGATTTTCCATCAGAGGTAGACCTTTGACAGACATTTTCATTTTGAAAAGGCAATCGAGCAAACCTCACTCAATTCAAATCTATGAAGGGCTTTCAGACAGTGATTAATATATACAATGTATGTACCTCTTATGATGGCATGTAGTTAGCATGAAATGAATGTTTAAAATTAAGATGGGGGAGGGGAAAAAAGTAAATGATTTCTACTCCTCTCTCTTCCTCGCTACCCATTTAATAATACAATATGATATCTCTCCACACCCCAACCAAGGAAACAAAATAGAGAAAAAAGAAGAGATGGCCCTAGCAGAGAAGGAATTTCCACAGTCTTTAATATTTCTTTTCAAATTAATAAATTTCAAATGGATATGCCTTTCTTCCCAACAAAGAATAAGCAAATAAATAAATTAGAAGACCTGGATTAACAATAAAATGGAACAATTGAGTATGCTTGGCCACAAAAATGGTTACTTCAAGTTGTAAAAATCTACCCTGAATTTCACAAAAGAATAGTGAGCTTTATTTAATTGGAATAGACCAAAAATAGAAGGCCAAATTAAATGACCTCTAAAGAGCTTTAATTTTTATGATTATATAATGAAAGCATGTTTTCTATATATACTTAAAAATCTTATTATATAATAAATAATAAGTGTGCCTAAATAATCTATACTAATAAAAGGGTAATATGCTAATTAGGCTGGGAGACCTTCTGGACAAAGCCATGGTGGCGAGGCTGAGGCATAGACAGTTAGGAGAAATCAGGCCCAGAGGGGAAGGCAGTTGGGGCAAGTAGGCTGGTGGGGGGGTGGAGGGAGGACAGTTGTGGGTAATCAGGCTGGCGGGTGGGGTGGCAGTTGGGGACAAGCAGGCCAGGAGGCAGAGTGGTTAGGAGCAATCAGGCAGGCAGGCAGGTGAGCAGTTAGGAGCCAACAGTACTGGATTGCAAAAGGGATGTCCGACTGCTGGTTTAGGCCCAATCCCATAGAGGCCCATAGAGGATTGGGCCTAAACCAGCAGTCGGACATAACCAGCAGTTGGACATCCCCCAAGAGGTCCCAGATTGGAGAGGGTACAGGCTGGGCTGAGGGACAATTTCCCCCCTCCCCCATGCACGAATTTCATGCACCTGGCCAGCTTTAACTTCAAGTTAGATATCTCAGCCATCAGATCCAACTTCTGAGTTTCTAGGGATGTCCTACTCGTAGCTAAATGAATAGTAAAATCATGCACTTAAACCCATTATTTCCACAACGAAGAAAACCAGTACAAATGGACAGACAGATGGACAAACAGAAAGATACAAGCTCCAAAAGCCTAAAGTCAAAAGTTCTTCCAAAGGCAATGAAAGAAGTACTATTTCAGATCAAAAGTCTGAAAATAACCCAACTGGTGTGATTCAGTGGCTGAATGTTGACCTATGAACCAGGAGGTCATAGTTCCATTCCCTATCAGGGCACATGCCTGGGCTGCGGGCTAGCTCTCCAGTGTGGGGCAAGCAGGAGACAGCCGATCAATGATTCTCTCTCATCATTGATGTTTCTCTCTCTCTTTCCCTGTCCCTTCCTCTCTGAAAAGCAATAACAATGTGTTTTTTGTTAAAAAGTCTGAAAATAAAAACTGCCATGAGCATTAATGATAAAAAGTCAACTTAATTAAAGATTATTTTTAAAAAGAAGCATAGATGGATCTACCAATGAACTCACATGTGTATATGCATAACCCAAGGATACACAGGCACTGTGGGTGGTGAAGGCTTGAGGGGCAGGGAGTGGGGGATAGGGTGGGATAGGGCAATGGCGGGGAGAAAGGGACATATGTAATACTTTCAACAATTAAGATTTTTTTAAAAAGAAGCATAGATGAATGAGGGCACATGTAATTAACTGCCTCTCCCTCCCACCTCCTAGGAATTTCAACTTTCTCTAAGAACATATGTGTGTGATATATACATATATACACATAAGTATGCACATGTACGTAAAGAGAGAGAGGGTGCTGCTTACCTCTGTGTCTCTGAACCTATCTTCATAATCCAATCTGTCCTTCTCGACAGCCGTCAGTTTTAACTTCAAGTTAGATATCTCAGCCATCAGATCCAACTTCTGAGTTTCTAGGGATGTCCTACTCAGAAGCTCCTATTAGAATTTAAGAGATACATTCAGAAGTTGTTTTATTACAAACAGCCACATAAGGATGTGTCTCACTTATGACTGCAAAGCAGTAACTATCAAATAGAGGATTTGATGATTAATTACTAAATAGATACAATTTAGTTAACCCTCTTTGAGCAGCACTAAACACATATCTGCTTATTGGAGAGATACATTACATAGAAACACACATATGTAAACCTATATATAGTGTGACGCCTGATAACACTGATGATGATGATGATGTTACGTGTGCCGTGTGCCAGGGACTATTCTGACATGTATTTAGTGGTTCGAGTCTCAAAACAACCTTATGAGGTAGAAACTCATAGGGATAATGCATGATGAGGAACTCAACAGATAAGGAAGCTGAGGAACAAAGAGCTTAAAAATTTGCCAAAAGCCACACAGCATGGAAATGGCAGAGCAGGGACTCACGGCTAAACAGTCTTGCTCCAGTGTATACTTTGTCCATTATATTATAGGTCCTCTCAGATGTGAGCACCGTGTGTGTGTGTGTGTGTGTGTGTGTGTGTGTGTGTGTGTGTGTATACAAGTTTTTTCTAATAAAGGTCACATGTGGTATTTATCTTTTTTCTTAATCAGATAAATATGCTCATGTTGGGAGTTAGGAAACCATATGAAAGCATAAAGAAAATAAATAAAATTATCTGTAATCCTAGTAATATGTTATTTCAGATTATAATTACAAGAGCACATTTTTATTGTGTGTATGTGTTTTGAGGGCCTGCTACCCTAGGTTTTTACTTAAAAGATGCCAGTGTAAGTGAGCTACGAAATGTACTGCTCCATCAGAGCAAACACAACATGGAACATCTCACACAGCTCAGCAGGAAATCCGATGGGGGCCAGGGTCATACAGACCTGCTGCAGCATCTCCTCCGTGGCATTCAACTTCTCTCTGTGCTCTTCAAGACAAAACTCCAAATCTCGAATCTTCTCTCCCTGCGCCTCCACCTGGTCTGTCAACACACTGACCTGAATTTAGAGCAAAACATCTCAATGGATTAGGAGGAATTTGGTCCCACTGCAAAGTTTATTTCTCTAAATAGATCAAAAACTGTCACCACTCATTTGGATGTAAGGGGGGGGGGGGAATCTGAGAATTATTAAGACAGCAGCCCTTCATATTCCTCTATATGTGGTGCTTATTGATCTGAGGACTCCTATTCAATACTTAAGAAAGGCCAGGCTCATTGGGTGTGTACAATGCTTTATAGGTTAAAGCCCTTTCAACCATTTATGAGAGGGAGCACGCACACAGATTAGCTTTTAGGGGAATTTGGGTGAGGTGAGGGTAGGAGGTAGTATTAGAGATTAAGAGAGAAAGTGGAGTTAACTTTTGGAGGAGAAGTTATCAAGGACAACTCAAGTTTGGTACTTCAGAAGGAATAAAGAAAATAATCCAGAGAATTCAAATTCCACGAGATCTCTCATGATCACATATCCACACATGAGTTCAAAGCCGGGGTGTAACTCCGAGGCCCCCGAGTAGCCTCTGGGTTAGTCCTTCACCCTCAGCACCTTCTGTACACTCACAGCTTCCCCGCAACGGGCACCAGCCTGGTAAGCACACTAGGCTGGTGAAAGTATTTGTCCGGTATTTAAAACAGCATGGATGGACTTAGAGGGTATTATGCTAAGTGAGATAAGTCAGAGAAAGACAAAATACCATACAACTTTACTGACATATAGAATCTATAAAAACAAAATAGGAACAAACTCATAGGTATAGAGAACAAACCAGAGGGGAGAAAGGTAAGGGGTGAGTGAAAAGGTGAAGGGGATTACAATTTTCTGTTATAAAACAGATAAATCACAGACTACAAATGTATAGCATTGGGAATATAGCCAGCAATACAGTAATAACACTGTATGGCGACAGATGGTTACTGGACATAGTGGTGATCACTTCATAAGGGGTATAAATATTGAATCATTACATTGTACACCTGACACCAATATAATATTGTATGTCAACTACGCTTTAATAAAACAAATATATACAAATAAATTACAAAGGAAAAAATAACATTCTGAACAAGAAAACTCAAATTCAGTCTACAAATAGGTCTACACCACTCACTTTGGCCCATGGTATCATTCTTTAAAAACTGAAATATTAAATATTAAATATATATTAAATTAAGTATTAAATATATATAAATATTAAATATATATTCAGAAAGTACTTATTCAGATTCATAAGTCTATATTATGAGGCCTGGTGCGTGAAATTCATGCATGGGGGAGTTGGGGGGGAGTCCCCATCAGCCCAGCCTGCACCCTCTCCAATTCGGAACAGCTCAGGGGATGTCCAACTGCTGGCTTAGGCCCAATCCCAGAAATGGGGCCTAAACTAGCAGTTCGACATCTCTCTCACAATCCTGAATTGCTGGCACCTAATCACTCACCTGCCTGCCTGTCTGGTCACCCCAACTGCCCCCCTCTGCTGGCCTGGTCACCCCCAACTGCTTCTCCTGCCAGCCTGGTCACCCCCAACTGCTCCTCCTGCTGGCCTAGTCATCTCCAACTGCCCACCCCTCCCCTGCACCAGCCTAGTCGCCCCACGCAGTCTGCTGTTCAGTCATTTGGTAATCCCTCACTAACCCCCTTACTGGCCTGGTTGTAGGCAGCCATCTTTTGAGGGTGTAAGGGTTAATTTGCATATTACCTCTTTATTATATAGGATATATAGTATCAAATCAGAATTTCTGGTATATATTTAAAAATCAGATCAGATGACTGTGCTAGTCATAGACTGGCCCTGGACGAGTGTGGCGGGTTAAAGGCTGCTCATGCTAGACCGGTACGCACACCCTTGTTCTGCCACAGTCCTCACCACTCCCTACCGAGCGCAGACGGCCTGCCACACTTAGATCTACTAGCATCTGGCTCCTGTGAGCACTGAATTTGCCATCCCGGTTTTAAATGTCTTTGTAAATATGTCATGAGGAACGAACAGCATTTAAAAAATCACTTGCCTGAAGGACGAGGGATTCTTTATCATTTTCTAACCGCGCTAGCCTTTCTTGATACACATCTCCGTTCCCAGGTAGGTGTCCATTTGTCTGAGAGAAAAAAAAAAAAAACAATTAGGGTGAGTCTGGCCCTCTTTCCCTTTGAACCACTGTGGGTAAATAAACATTTGCATCTGTTTTTAATTCAAGGAATCTGAACTGAATTTAGCACAGCTGTGATTGACGGCCATGAACAGGAAATACAAGAATAAAACGTGGTTCATTTGCCTCAAAATAGGTACGACAGGCACGTTAAGGCATGTTTTACCAAGCCACACAACTTCTCATCAAGCAGAAAAGAATGAGCTAAAAGGAACAGCGGCTAAGAGGAACACTCACTGTCAAGTGGGGGCACACCTGGGGCACACAAAGCTTTGCGAGTGTGTGATGGGGAATAAAGCCCTTATTTCCCCCCCCGAATGCTCAATGCCACTGATTCTGAGTGGAGATAGCGGGATTGACCCAGGATGCCCTCTCGTTCCTCCCTTTTCCCCCCTAAGTCCCAAATGCAGGACTGCAAATGCCGCCTGTTAAATGGGCGTAACTTACAGGCTTCTTCCTGCTACTCAAGTCTCCCAATAACAGGACAAACCCCTCCTTCCTCTTTGATGCCTTTCTCTCTCCCCTAAAACTTACACTCTCAGCACGAAGGACCCCACCCCCCTCTCTGGCAGCCCTGGCCAGCTGAGCTCATTGGAGATTTATTGCTTTCCTTCTATGCAAGCTCCAGGGCAGAGCCTATACAAGGCATCATGTTGAAACCTCCATAGCACCTGGCCCAGGGCTCTGCTTAGACCAACACTCACTCTTTTTTTCTCCCTGCAAATCCCTCCCTGCCACCTTTAAAAAATTTTTTTTTAAATTGATTTCAGAGAGGAAGGGAGAGGAAGAGAGAGAAAGAAACATCAATGATGAGAGAGAATCACTGATCATCTGCCTCCTACATGCCCCACACTGGGGACTGAGCCCACAACCCACCATGTGCCCTTGGCTGGAATTGAACCTGCGACCCTTCAGTCCTTAGACTGACACTCTATCCACCGAGACAAACAGGCTAGGGGCCTCCCCACGCCTCTTTATCAGACTTGGGCATATTCCTGTATGGTCTAAATGCTAAAGTATAGTTTGGGAAAGCAAGTGAGATTTTTTTTCTCAGTCATCTTACAGATGCAAGGCTTTTCCGAGACACATGAAAAGGCTGACAGAGAGCAGACAACATAAAAATGTCATTTCTTAACATAATCATGTGTGCTATGCCCCTTGTTAATCTCATTTAAAGAGTTCACAACCATATAATATGTAATCCCAATAGAATGTCTTGATTCCTCTTTCAAAGACAACAGAAATAAAAGCCAGTGGAGTCCAAAATGGTTAGATGAAGCCATCCAGAGTCCAATCAAAACAGCAAAGAACAACTTCCAAGTTAGAATCAGAGTAAAATATAAACTGTACTTCCTACCACCCAGCTCACATCTGATGTGACATCCATTATTTTTTCCAGAATTAATTGGCATTTTCCAGTATAAATTCTGAGAATAACCCAAGTTATAAAAAAGTTGGGGGGGAGGGGGGGAAACACACTGCACAAAAAGGAGCTTTAACAAAAAATAAAATTTTAGGAGATGTCTTCTAAAATCTATGCACACTTGATATACTTCCCATGAGGCCACACACAAAAAAATCTGAAAACGAATTTAGTAAGTGTGTGATGTATATTTAGAAGGGATAACATGCTGAATTTAACATCAGCTACTTGACCACATACCTGCACCACCACCTCAGCATAATTCTGTTCATGTTGTAAACCGAAGTGCCCAGAATTAAGTGACAAGTATGACGAGGAGTCTGGTGGAGGGGCCTGGACGACTTTCATCCCCGGGGACTACCATGAAGTGAAATATATGAAGCTTCTTGAGGACAGCTTTTTGGAAAAAAGCCAGATGCACAATGCGTGTTCTCGACCTAAGCCAGTGCCGAGACGGGCCTGCCATAGCATTAAATCCCTCATCTAAATTAAGGATATAAGCAGGCACCTGCTTTTCAATCCCCACACAGGCAACGTTTTATAAGAAAATACACTTAATTAAGTAGGAAAAAACGCTTTCTGCTCAGGGAGGGTACAAAGCAAAAGTCATCTTTCTTCTGCCTGAAGAAAATTATAGCAAGATTATAAGTATTTCTATAGCAAGTTCTAGAAGTGTTTTTATAAAGCTACTGCATATGATATGGAAATAGGAAATGTTCCAAAACCAGTTCTACAGAATTATCCTGAGAGAAAAACAAATGCTAAAAATTGGCTCACAATGAGAGTGCTCACTGTATTAATTTCTCAATACTGTATTAATATACTAGAGCTCATAATGCCCAGGAGGATATTAGTTTTAAAAAAAAAAAAAACAAACATGAAAATTTAGCCTAGCTGGTGGCTCAGTGGTTGAGTGTGGACCTATGAACCAGGAAGTCAAGGTTCAATTCTCAGTTGGTCAAGGGCCCATATCCCAGTTGCAGACTCAATCCCTGGTAGGGAGCGTGCAGGAGGCAGCCGATCAGCAGATCAATGATTCTCTTTCATCTTTGATGTTTCTCTCTCTCTTTCCCTTTCCCTTCCTCTCTGAAATCAATAAAAAGATATTAAAAAACAAACAAACCACTCACACGAAAAGCCACTATAGGAGCATTAAGCCAAAGTTAAGAACTACCACTGGACTAGTTACATACTTTTAAAACACTGTTGACTTACTCAAGTAGGTCAAGGTCCCTCCTATTCACACCCTTATTTATACTTCTACCCATTTTGTTACCTTTGCCTTAAAAAAGTTAGAGAGGTAAATCCCATTAGGCAAATACCCTGCCTCCTCTATTTTTTCCCAACACCGGGCTCTTCCTACCAGACCACTCAAAACCTCCCCGAACATAGAATGCTCTCCAACACTGACTGCCTTCCTTCTGCATAAACCGTATTTCCCACCCTTTCTCCCTCTTTCCTCATCCCTACGGTCCACCTCCATGGAGTCCTCCTCACATGCCAGTTACAGCGTCTGGATGCATCTCCATTTCAGCAGACATCACACTGAATGAACTAGGTTAGAGCTGGCTACATGCGTGTCTCTCTGCCAGCACACTTTTTTTTTTTAAAGTGCTTAAGAGTTTAATAACCCGGGCCAGTGTTCTAAATGGTTTACATAGATTATCTCCTCTCATCCTCCTAACCCAATTAGGTACACAGATTTCACAATGTAGTGGTCTGACTCCAAATCCCACACTCTGAACTATGCAGTACTGTAAGACAGAGGTTTTATAATCTAGTTTTTACGTCAACACGGTGTAGTTTTATTATGAATATATTATTTCATCCCATTTGCTACTTATTGCTATCTTTTGAAGTTTTTATTTATTTTCTTTTCTTATTTTTCAATTACAGTTTGCATTCAGTATTATTCTGTATTAATTGCAGATGTACAGCACACTGGTTAGAAAATCATGCAGTTTACACCAATACACTCTTGATTTCATGATCCTAGTTTTTAAAATTCAGTATTGAGAGAAGAAAAAGGAAGGCTCAGTCCACTAAAGCTCCTTTAAACATTTCTTCCAAAAGGAGCATCTAACACCAGAGTCTCTTGTGTCCTAATCAGTATTAGATCTCCACCGCTGCCTGCAATCATTGATTGCCTGCTCTCCACTCAACACTCTACGAGGAGGGGAGATTGAGGTAAGATTTGACTCCTTCGACTATGAATATCGCTGTCACCTTTCATTTGTGGCCAACCCAATAAAGCATCTCGAGCTGTACTGTCTGGAGTCAGAGAACAGGACACCAACAGGTGGAAATCAAGCCCAGACATGATGGAAGCAGGGCAGTGAGGCTCTACCCCGGTGCTGTAAATAAATAATCGCCTTGGGGCAACAGCGCTGCCTTTCGGGGCCAGTGGAGCATCCCTCCCAAACGCGAGGGTCCCTGTGTCCTCTAGCACCTCCGACTGGGTCAGTCTTGCCTACAGCTGCTGATTTTTCCCTCCGACACTTCTCATGCAGTTCAAAAAAGGAAATAAGATGGCAGGGCAAGAAGGACTCTTCGTTTCCCCCATTTATTATACTCTACAGATCTCATGGGTTCTGATACCTGGTCTGAAGTTCTTACCATCAGCATTTTCACCCTCTCTGTTGAAAACTGTTTTTTCGTAATTCCTGCTGATTTTGAAATTGCCTCTTAACTAAAACTGCCAAATAACCAGACACTTGGGAGATTTCTTGACCTGACCCAGGTCAGGAAGCTCTCAGCTTCATTTACTGAAAAAAGGCACTAGTTAGGCCTAAGGTAAGCAAAAAACACTGGCTTGGCTCAAACAAACACGTTTTCCTATTTGCCCTCTTAGACTTGGAGTTTGCTAAAGCATTGTTAAATGTTTGTGATAACTTTTAAATCTTAAAAAAAAAAAAAAAACCTATTCATTCCTAGAAGGCTAAAGCTATAGGCACCCTATTAACAAATTCATTCTTGTAGATTTACTCTCCCTCCAGTATGACAGGCAGCTAGTGTTACTATTTTTTTTTTCTTATCCAGCTTCTGATCCGATAAAACCATTACATGGGCCTGCATCCTACAGTAAACCAGGGGTTCTCTCTGGCCCAGGCAAAATAATAAGAAGAACTGTAAATTCCCAGTTGCACTAATGAGAACATTAATATCAGCCTTAGTAACAGACAGTCAAGTTGCTCATCACTAAATCTTAATTATATAACTAGTGTTAATAAATTTTTCTAAATTATTATGGAAACTTCTTCACAGTCTGACAATTGCCTGTATTCTTTTGTCACAGTCAACTATGGCCCAGACAGCATATCTCAGTGGTGGAGTGTTGACCTATGACCCAGGAGGTCATGGCTGGATCCCCAGTGGGGGGTGTGCAGGAGGAAGCCAATTAATGATGCTCGGTTTTCATTGATGTTTCTCTCTCTCTCTCCCTCTCCCTTCCTTTCTGAAATCAATAAAAATATATACTTTTAAAAAAAGTGAACTATGTATGAGTAATTTGTAACCCAACTCCAAAGCAAAATTCTCATATTCTTGATATTTACATTCCAGTGGGACAGACAGAAAAATAAATGATATAAACATGGCGAATCTATAGTACCTAAGAAAGTGTAAGTGCTAAGGGGAAAAAAGCAGAGAGACGTAATAACAGGAATGGATAGGTAAAATTTTAGATAGGCTGTGCAGGGAAGGCCTCATGGGGAACACAACTCTCAAGTATCAGAGACTATGAGAAAGGTAACCATACACACATCTGGCAAAAGAGCTTTCCCAGAAGAGTGAATAGCCAGTGTAAAGGCCCTCAGGCCAGTTTGCCCAGCACGTCTCCGAACCAGTGAGACTGTTTGAGACTCGGTGAAGGAGCCAGTATACATAGAGTGAAGTGAAAGAGGGGAGGTATAGTGAGACATAAGGTCAAAGAATAATGAGGAGCAATGCCTAGAAGGCCTTGCAATCCAGAGCTTTCCCTAAATTTAACATTAAAAGCATCTGGCTTTTCCTCTGAGTGCAATGTGACTACCCCTGGGATATTTCTGAAAAAGGAGTGAAGGACACGATTTGATTTATTTTCAGATAGCATCATGATCATTTTCACTCTTTTCCAGAAAGACTTGAACAGAACAGATGGAGCATGTGCGAATGGAAATGTTTTGGGGCATTCAATTTTTGTTTTAGATAACACTTATTTTTGGACACAAGTTAAAAATCCAACCTTAAGCTATGGCTGCCATTGGCAGCCTCTGGGTGTGAGCCAGGAAGAGGTGCTCCTGCCAATAGTAAATTCCTTTCCCAGTAGGTGATGAATTATCAGAAAAATGTGGAGCAAAAAGCAGGTGAGATAGGAAGTAGAAATAGCCTAGGGAATAGCTAGAAAACATCTAATTTTAGAGCATGAAGCAATTCCCCAAGGAAATCAGAAAACCTTGCTGGTACCGGTTTGGCTCAGTGGATAGAGCATCAGTCTGCGGACTGAAAGGTCCCAGGTTCGATTCTGGTCAAGGGCATGTACATTGGTTGTGGGCATATCCCCAGTAGGGGGTGTGCAAGAGGCAGCTGGTCGATGTTCCTCTCTCATTGATGTTTCTAGTTCTCTATCCCTCTCTCTTCCTCTCTGTAAAGAATCAATAAAATATATATTTAAAATGAAAAGAAAACCTGAATACTTCAATCTATTGAGAAGAAACTTGTTTTTTCAGTTTCATTTTTATTGTTTAAGGTATAGAGAAGAAACTTGCAGAGCAAATATAAAATATAATAATAAGCCCCTAGCTAGTCTGGTTCAGTGAACAGAGTGTAGGCCTGAGGACTGAAGGGTCCCAGGTTTGAGTCTGGTCAAGGGCACATACGTTGGCTGTAGGCTCCTCCCCAGCCTGGACCCTGGTCTGGCTGCATGCAGGAGGCAACCAATCAATGTGTTTCTCTCACATCGATGTTTCTCTCTGTCTTACACTCTCTCTAAAAAAGGTCAATGGAAAAATATCCTTGGGTGAGGATTAACCACAAAGGAAAAAGTATAATAATAAGGTATCACGTATTACAAAAAAATAAAATATCTCCAACTGTTAAGTTTGTATAGAGCCACCACCACTAAAAAACTGTCAGAAATGGGAGGCATGTTGGCTGGAACATGAGAACACTCGGCATGGGACTGGCTGGGGACACAAATATTTGTGTCACATCATGTGAACATGTTTTAGCTGCAGGATGTAGTATTAAGGTAGCAGCAAACAGATCCAAAAATATATCTCAATTCTTTCATACAATGATCATTAGCTTTTATACTAACACAATTAACCAATAAGCCTATTAATGTAAATTCTTGAAAAGTGAGTATTCTTTAAATACTTACAAAATAACACTCTTCCTATCTTTTCCCTTGAACCTGTATTTGTGATATCCTTTGTCTAGAAAGAGTCCTTACTGTTCAGTGAAGATGAATATCATTTAAAAGCCCAAAAATGCACTAACTTGTACACTGGAATTGAAATGACCACCATTAGCCACTAGGTGGCACTTCATACCAAAGACTTGCTCTTTGAGAGTCTGCCTATTTAGAATTGCCATTGGGTCCTTTTTACAGAAAACCGTCCAATAATACTGCTAAGCATCTATTATGTGCAAGGTTCCTTCTCTTATAGGACTATTTGTCCAAAGCCACGGTAGGTCATTCGGTCACAATCCAAAGGCTAGTCCACTTTTATGAGAATCATCAGGTGACTTGCTGGGCCCCCAAGAAATGTACATAAATAGCCCTTTGTAAAAATAATCCTTAGAGTCAAAAGGGAATTGGGAGCTCTTTAGGGAAAACTTGGGTTGCCTATATATTTTTTCTTCTTGCCCTAATTGGCTGTTCTATGTTCTAAATTTCAGAATAAGCAGCATGGGAGTTGCAACATGAAGACACCTACCATTTGACTCTGAAGCCACTCGATGAGCGTTTCTGCGGTTGAATCTGGGATCTGACATCGCAAGCCTTCCTTCTCATCTGCTTCCATCATCTCCAACAGTCCACGCAGGTCTTCCACAAGATGCAGGGCTCGCAAGCTTCCCATGAACGGGGAGGTGGGGGACTGGCAATCAAAAATCCCATTGGAATACTCCAGGGCCTTAGAACCTAGGTTTAAAAAAAAAAAAAAATCAAAGAAAGCCCAGGGTTTATGTTAGATAAGGCACCAAAACTGAAGGTGGCAAGCAAATCCAGCAGTCCAGTCACCGGAGGAGGGGGGAAGTATGGAGGGATTGAGCAAAAACTCATGGATACAGACAACAGTGTGGTGATTGCCAAGGAAAGTGAGAGATAGAGTGGGTAATGGGGTGATAAATGACGATGGACAGAAACTTGACTTGGGTGGTGAACACACAGCACGGTGTACAGATAATGTGTTGTAGAATTGTGCACCTGAAATCTGATAATTCTATCTGATAATTGTGTCACCCCAATAAACCCAGTAAAAAGGAAACAAAAAGAAGGAAGAGATAATTGGATCACGTACATCTCTCTAAGGCATAGTTATTTGTTGCCAAAATAAAAACAATATAACTGATGGTGAATATCAATGGTCAAATATATAACAGGTGGGCCACCAACTGTGTGGTACAGTAAGAATATAGTGGGCTTCGGTGTAAACCCCGTGGTCAGCAAACTGTGGCTCGAGAGCCACATGTGGCTCTTTGGCCCCTTGAGTGTGGCTCTCCCACAAAATACCATGGCCTGGGCGAGTCTATTTTGAAGAAGTGGCATTAGAAGAAGTTTAAGTTTAAAAAATTTGACTCTCTGCTGGGACCGGTTTGGCTCAATGGATAGAGCGTCGGCTTGGGGACTGAAGGGTCCCGGGTTCGATTCCAGTCAAGGGCATGTATCTTGGTTGCGGGCATATCCCCAGTAGGGGGTGTGCAAGAGGCAGCTGATCGATGACTCTCTCTCATCGATGTTTCTAACTCTCTATCTCTCTCCCTTCCTCTCTGTATAAAATCAATAAAATATATATTTAAAAATAAATAAATAAATAAAAAATAAAAAATTTGGCTCTCAAAAGAAATTTCAATCGTTGTACTGTTGATATTTGGCTCTGCTTACTAATGAGTTTGCCGACCACTGTGCTAACCTCACAGACATGGGGTTAAGAAGGTAGCAGATCAATTCGCATGAGCCATGTATTACAAAAAACAAGAATGAATTTTAGGGACCATAAAGGGTATCATTTCCTAAAAATAAGCTACACCCTGAGGTGGAAAATGCATAGCATAATTTCAAAGGCAAGAGAGCCAGCTCCCAGGCACTTGCCAGAACTTAATCTCTGAAGAAGTGCAATGAATTACATGTATATATTTGTAGGTGGATGTGTGTGCAAGTGTGTATCCACATTTCCGCCATGATTTTGCTTGCAGCCTCACATCAAATGCTCTTGCCAAAATTAGCTTTAAAAATAATTTTACAGCCATTGTTGTTTTCAATTAGTTATATGAGAAAACATTCTGCTACTTAAATCCACACAACTGACCCACAGCCCATTCTGAAAGCACTCGTCTAGACCTCTTCATCTCTTCGGTGTTTATGTTCTAATCTGTTAAATATACATACTGTCAAATATAAATGTAAACTTCACACTTAAATAGCAATAATTACAATATATAGGCTATCCCCTCATAAATCTGAAAATCTTACAATTGGATGATACCTGAGAACCACCGTATTAGCTGTCTCTCCAGTTGGCTGTCTGGCTTGATCAATTCTAACAACGGGGGAGAGACTCTCTCTACTAGTCCATTCCACTGAGCCTCCTAATACCGGACAGATGATCTGGACTCAAATCTGCCAAACTCTAACAATAGTTACCACCAATGTGCTAAACACAGTGCTAAAAGCTTCACATAACCCTCTCTATCAATCTCCACAGGAACCCTGTAGAGCTGAGACGAAGGGCTGTGGAATTTAGCCAAAGACTGCTAGAGAGGTTCCTGAGGAAATATAATGAGTTCAATATTTTTTTTTAAAATACTGACATTGATGTGTCTATGAGATATTTCAGGGGAAATCCCTTACTGGCAGTAAGAGACAGAGATATGAAAGATAACAAAAGAATTGGGAAAGTAAGGAGATGTGAGTCACTGGTGCTAAAGTGAATGTTAAATTCAAGGAAACAGATTGGAACACTCTGGATACTGGGAAAAGCAGAGTTTTCAAAGTGTGGTCCACAGACTGCCAGGAACCTTGATCAGAAGCCCAAGATGCTATCGGAACTTTTGACATCTTAAAGTAAAATTTAAGAATACTACTGGAATGGGAGTCCAGGCAAAATGGCAGAATAGATGTCTGCTGTACTTACCTCTTCACATATGGCGATTAAGAATCTGAGAGGTATCTTAGCTGCTGAGGTTCCCCCATACCTAACATAAAATCTCCCCCTAACCACAATTCTGAAATAAACACAAACATTTTACCCTAACCCTAATGCTAATTCTAACCCTACCTTTAAACCTAAGCCTAACCCTAATCCTAACACCAACCCACGACCCAAAATTTAAAGCTAATCCTAAACCTAATACTGAACTCATCACGAACACTAAAACTAACCCTTATCTTAAATCTAACTCTAAACCTAACCTCATGCCTAACCCAAACCCTAAACCAAATCCTAACCTAAACATAATACTAAACCAGGAGGAGTTCCAATCAACATGGTGGTAGGTAGGTAGGTAGTGCACTCACCTCCTCCCATGACCACATAAAATTACAACAAAATTATAGAACAACCAATCTGGACAGCCACCTGCAAACTGGCTGAAGAGAAGCCCTGTCACTAAAGGATATAAAGAAGCCACCACATTGAGACTGACAGGAGGGGCGGAGATGTGGAACAGGCTGGCTGGACACCCACGGGTGTCGGTTGAAAATCCGGAGGGAAAGTTCAGCTGCAGAGGTACTCCCTGAGGAGTGAGGGGGTCTCAGCTCCACACCAGGCTTCCCAGCATGAAACACCAGTGCTGGGAAGAGGAGCCCACTTAATAGCTGGGTGAGTATTAGAAACACAGGCATCTTCTTAAAGGGCCCAGCCATGCAAAAAAATTCTTGCTGGCAGGCACTCACCTTGGGCCAATAATTCATCCGATAAGGGGTTTATATCAAAAAAATTTAAAAAACTCATACACCTTAACACCAAAAAACCAGACTATCCAGTTTAAAAAATGGGCAGGGGATATGATAGACATTTCTCCAAAGAGGACACAAAGATGACCAAAAGACATATGAAACTATGCTCAATGTCACTAACCAGAGAAATTAAATTAAATTAAAACCACAATAAACTATCACCTGACACATGACAGAATTGCTATCATCTATATATCAACAATGAGCAAATGTTGGTGAGGATGTAAAGGAAATGGAACCTTCCTACCCTGTTGGTGGGATTGCAAATTGGTGCAGCCACTATGGAAAACAGTATGGAGGTTCCTTAAAAATAGAATTACCTATGACCCATCAATTACACTTACTTGAGATATATATATATATATATATATATATATATATATATATATGAAAAAATCCACAGCACTAATTAAATTCAACTCCTATGTTCATTGCAGCAGTATTTACAATAACCAAGATATGGAAGCAATCCTACTGCCCATCAATAGATATTGGATAAAGAAGATATGACACATCTATACAATCGAATATTACTCAGGCATAAAAAAAAAGAATGAAGTTTTACCATTTGTGACAACATTGATTGACCTTATTAGGCTAAGTAAAATAAGTTGGTAAGAGAAAAACAATACCATATGATTTCACTTACATGTGGATTCCAAAGTACATAATAAATCATCAAACAAAACAAAAACAGACTCATAGTTACAGAAAACAGACTGCTGGTTGCCAGAGGAGAGAGGATTAGGGAGATTGGGTGAAAAAGATGAAGAGATTAAGTACAGATTTGTAGTTACTAAATAGTCATGGAGATGTAAAATATAGTATAGGGAATACATTCAATAATAACTAGAAATGATTACTAGAATTACCGACAGATCACTTCATAAATTACATAATCATCTGTAATTATCACTGTGTTATACACCTGAAACTAATATAACATAATATTGAATGTCAACTCTAATTGAACATTTTTTGGGGAAAAAAATTAAAATTCTGGATGAAAATGGCAAAGAGGGTCAAGGATCAACCATGGGACCCTAAAGGCATTGGAGAGAGCCAATAAGTGAAAATAGGGAAGTGGAAAGGTAATAAAACAGCCGTAATGAAAAAGCCAAGACAGCAGAATAAATGGCATGATCCCATATGTCAGAGGATGCACATTACCTGCTATAATGCCATCCATCTGCTCCAGCGCCGCAGCCAACATGTCACTTGCATCACTCATCATTTTGTTATTTGTGGAGGGCAAATTCCAACCTGGATCTGAAAAAATAATGATGTTATCATGACATCCTTTAAATGACTCATGCTTCCTGGCAGGGTTGATCATTCAACTCCAAATGATAACTCCCCCTGGCAGGCAAAGAGGGAGAATTTCTGAAGTAGTAGACCTGAATTAATTGAAACATTTAACGAGCTGCGGCCAACCGGCGTCACTTACTACATTGGGAGACCGCATGCTATACCTGCATCAGTTAATGAAACAAGATTCAGTTCTTGCACTCAAGGTGTTTAAAGTGAAGACTGCTTTCCATGCCGCCCTCTGTAGAGCTCTAGGTCTCCATGAGGGGTATCAGGCCTGGCTGTGGAGCCCTGCTCGGGGCCCTGAGGAATGCTGGGTAGACCAGAACTTCCTCCCTCCCTGTTCCAGCCCAAACCAATCCCTACTCTCTTAATTTGCCCCCTTTTTTCTGTATGAGAATTACCATAAGACACGTGTAAGAAAGTGGTTCTCATTGTGTGCGTATATGGTAAACACATACACACATCGACTGCTATTGTTGAATGTAACAATAGCTACCATGCATCAAGTGTCTACAATGGTCCCTATACATTTACATAAATTATCCACAATCCTTTATCATAACAGTAACCCTATAAAACGGATACATTCATCTTTGTTTTACAAATGAAATCAGAGATGTTTGCTGATTTTTTTCAAGGAAACATGTCACGTAAATATATCAAAGACCAGTTTTTAGCCTACGTCTAATTTCAACAATATTATATTTGCTTAACTGATTCTCTAGCTGAAAGATAGGTTTATGCTGAAATTGTCACAGGCTACTCACTCTTTTACCTATTCAAAAAACTGACTGAACTTACAGCCTTGCAAGAAATTTGGTCAAAGCAGGAAAAAGCCAAATTATATGTTTTTCAATATTAATTAATGCATTTCAGGTACCAGAATAAGTATGCATACAAATGTTCCCAATAGGCTAAATAAGGCTTCTGTGACTTCGCAGATGGGACATGAAGGGTCTGCTGTTTAATAGAAACCTTTGCCCTTTGTTTCCAAGCAGCCAGATCTCACTTACCACTTTATTTTTTTTTTGATTAACAGAGAAGAGACATGAATGAGAGAGAATCATCCATCAGCTGTTCCCTGCATAACCCCTACTGGGGATGTGACCGCAACCAAGTTACATGCCCTGACCGGAACCTTTCAGTCCGCAGGCCGACGCTCTATCCACTGAGCCAAACCGGTTTCGGCTACCATTTTATTTTTATAAACACATTTACAGTTTTGATAAAAAGCTTGTTGGATCAATTCTATGTACATTCATTTTAATAATAAGCCATCTAATGATTGTGAAATATTACTTTGTTTTTATAGTTTTTATAGATTTCATCTAAGCATTTCCCAGAACTTTACCTCAGAAGGTATAAAGTATCTCTACCATGTTATGTGGAAATACTACAGCACAAAAATGCCCAAGGCGTGCATTTACAGTTACCAGAATTCAGGTGGTTAACAAGCCAGGCTGTGAGCCTAGATAGTTCTCAAAAACTTACTTGCACATTCAGCTAATCCAGCGAGGTGGGGCACAGATTTAATAATCACACTTCAGGCTGGAAAATTTCAAACATGAAAACTGAGAACATGAAGGATTAAGCCAAACAGCCTTCAGTCCTTTACTTTCATAAAATTAAGTGGCTTGCATTACCTTCATTTTAAAAGCGCTTCAAAGTGCTCTAGATAACATGAGATATATAGAAAGGAACACACGTCAGCTCAGAAATAAACATGGGAAATGCTAATAAAACCAAGTAATGCTCACAATGAAAAACTCTCACTGCCCCACCAATTTATAAAAACAAGGATTGATTTTCTTTGCTAGCGACTATGACTTGTGTAGGGCACGAAACATTTCCAAGTATGACAGGTAATTATCTACTTCTCTGTTCTGTCCAGAACCTTTCAAATACTATGACACGGAGGTGTATGAATCAAGGCCATAATTTTCAAAGCAGTAAAGAACCAATTAAAAAAAATTCCAATTCTTTAGAGACCAATCCTTTGTGTAATAACATAAAACTATGATGACAATATTTCACTGTTAAAAAAAACCTTATAAATATTTACTCTTGATCTCTATATTTATCACATAATACGTTACTTGTAACAGTAAGGGGAGGACAGACAGAAAACGTAATAAATATGCATGTATTATAGAAAAAGTGGGTGATAGCTAAAGTGTACAGGTTTACTTTTGTTTTTGTTGTTAATCCTCACTCGAGAATAATTTCCATTGATTTTTAGAGAGAGTCAAGAGATGGGGGAAGGGAGAGAGATAGAGAGAGAGATAGACATTGATGTGAGAGAGACACAGCCATCGGTTGCCTCCTGCATACGCCTCAAAGGCTATGTGCCCTTGACCAGAATCGGGACCCTTCAGTTCATATACACTGAGTCAAACCTGTTAGGGCAGGATTACTGTTAAGGGTGGTGAAAATGTAACCATCTTGACCTAATTCAATTTATAGAACAAAACACTTAAATGCAGAATATACATTTCAAGTCCAAGTTATATTTACCATGATGGGCCATGTACGCAAGGTCACAAAATAAGTCTCAATAAATTCCAAATGGGCTTTAAAGGATTACAGTGAAGAATGAGAACAGAAGCCTGAAGTGGTGAAGCACTAAGAATAGAATTTCCATATATATTAAAACTCAGATTTGCCAATGGCCTGAGGTATTTTAGAGTCAGCCTAACTGAGTGAGCATCTGTGTTGATAAAGCTATGCCAATTGTCATGAATGGGTCAAAGTATTGTCAAAAATAGAAAGGCTAAATAAAAAGACTTCAGAAAATACCATACTCTTAAAAAGATTGTCCTATATCCTCAAAAACACATCTGAGAGGAAAATTCCCCTGAGTGTTCTCACATACTTAATGCAATGGAATGTTATTCCAATACAATGAAATATTACTAGATAATAAAAAAGACTGAACTGTTGATACATGCAACAGTATGTTGAGCAAAAGAAGCCAGACATGAATGACTATGTACTGTATGATTCCTTTTCTATGAAATTCAAGAATGGGCAATCTACGGTGTTAGAAAGTAGAACAATAGTTATCTGTAGGAAGTGGTAAATGATTAAAGGAGGTACTGGGGAACTTCCTGTTTAATAAGTCGATTGAGGTGTTGGTTATACCAGTTTATACATTTGTCAAATTCATCAAACTACACATTTAAGATGTGTGCATTTCAATATTTGGAAATGTCATCTCAAATATTAAAAGCTAGGAATGAAGATGATTTTAGAAATTAAAAATGAAATTGTATTTTTTTAAATCAACTAAATGAGTAAATGAATTGATATAATGGAGGAAAAGCATGGACTTATAGTGATAATATCGATACATCACAAATCAAAGATAATGAATAATCCAAGTACAGATCCAAGGTCCAAAAATAAGAGAATAACCAGGTCCCTTTGTTCTAATTCTGATTATAATTTGGTCTTTTGGGTGGACAAAACCAGTTAGAAAATTAAAACTTCAACATCCAATGATTCTCAGAGAATAGCAAAATAATTTCTGTGTTCTAAATAACTAATATACGTATACTTCTTTGAATGACTTGCTGAAGGAAAAGGCACCGGAAAATACAACCACCACAACAAAGGAATTTGGTTTGAGTTAAAGGTCAGAGTTCAAACCTAAGAAAACCATTACTTGTGTGATGTGAACAGAGAAGATGAGCTCTGTTTGTAGGAGTCCTCAATCTAGTGGTTTCCTGTTCCCATGGCTTAATTAAAAATAAGTTTAGAATAGTCTTAGTAAAGCAAGAACCTGGAAATAATATTCATATTTTAGAGTAGGGACAAAAAGAGACCCAACAGAAGCAAGTTTGGTGTATATTTTAAGCTTGGGTAGGACCCGTTTAGAGCAGACTTGAATGGGGTAAAATACCAGCAATGGGTGTGGTGGCTAAAAGTTTAGCAGAAAAAAACACAAGTTTTTGCAGAGTTGCTGACTAACTGATGTTTTAGGTCAGGCTAGCTGCCCAGTCTCTGTGAAGAAAGTCAGGCTGTGAGAAAATTACAAAGTTTGTTTTAAACTCTCGCTTTCTTGAGAATGACATTTGTCCTAGCTTTCTTCTCAGCTTTCCTTAGGTAGAATGTTTAGGCTTGAAAGAGAACTTCTAATTTTGTGCTGTGAGATGGATACAGTTCACAGAGATTAAGACTAAAGAGAGAAAAAATCCTTTATTGAAAGAGAGACTGTTACATGCAGTGGGGAATGGAGAGGTGGATAGGGGACACCTGTAATATGGTCAATAATAAAAAACAAACATAAAAAAATAAACTAAAGTAATCCTTAACGAGACCAATAAGCTTAATGGCATTTTGAAAAAAAAGAAAAATGAAAGAGCATGTTTACACCCATTCCACTAGGCTGGTCAAGCGCCAAAATCACATGGTCATTATAAAAACAGTATATTTTCATATAAATCACCCACAGGTTTCTCACCAATTTTCCCCCAAAGATGCTCACTAGGGATGTTACATCAATTACACAATGGGTTCCACTGTATGCAGCAATACAATCTTAGGAAAGATAAAATGCCTTAAAAACGGAAAGATCAACAGGAAGTAGGAAGGACTATCAGTGGTTATCAAGCTGTGGTTCTTGGACCGGCAGCAGCATCACCTGGGAGTGAGTTAGAATGTACATCCTTGGGCCCCACCAGCCTGGGTTTTTATGAGCTGTTCATGTGATTCTAGAGCACCCTCCATCACAGGACTAAAGAGGCCGCCTTTCCTCCTGGGACACACGCCCCACCCAGATGAGGTTGGAACTGGCTACCAAGGTAAACAAGGGTAGAGCTCCTCTCCGCAGCCCCCGCTTCTTACTTTGATCCAAGAATCACAGCTCTGAAGAGGCAATTATGTTTTAACCTGAAAAACCCTCCCTTTAAACTTCCACTAAGT